GTAGGGATGGTGGCCCAGAAGCCCCTTCCTCTGGGCTGGGAGCGGAGGGACAGAAGGCAGCCAAAAAGCCCTTTCCTCTGGGCCAGGAGTGGCAGGATGGATGGTGGCCCCAAAGCCCTTTCCCTCCCCCATTTTTTAAAAATTTTGAGACAAGTTCTTGCTAGATTGCTAAGTTGTCCAGGCTGTGCTCTAACTCCTGTTCCTCCTGCCTCAGCCTCCCAGAGTGCTGTGATTATAGGAATATGCCACCATGCCTGGCCTTAGTGCTTCTATGAGTTCGGGCTTATTAGCCATTTCCCATATGTTGAATAACATCTGAGGAATCTCATAGCATGGATCTTTGTAGAGAAACAGTTATGTGGGAAATGCAAATGCCTACGGGAACAGGCTGTGGAGACGGGGTGTGTGTGTGTGTGTGTGTGTGTGTGTGCGCGCGCGCGCGTGCGTGCGCGTGCCGTTGTCCTGTCAAAAATTGGGATCAGTGATTCCCTGAAACTGGGACTGGGTGCCAGGTGAGTCAGAAATGAAGAGAAGGAAGAGTAGGCAGAGGCCCAACCACAGAGTACAGAGAGGACAGAGCCGCAGCCACAGCCACTGAGGACAGAAGCTGCTCCAGGGAGCCCGGCCACCCTCGCCAGGTGCTGGCCACTGCTCCTCTCCTGGCTCCTGTGTCCATCTAGAAATTTGCCTTGTTTGGATTTCGCCCTAGGGAACACCTCCGTGGCCCGACCATCCCTGGGCTTCTGGAAGAGTTTCTCCCTGGCAGGGCCACATTTTCCAGAAAGCTTTCCCCATGGAGGCGCTCTGGGCCTTGTGACCCCACAGGCATGGTACTTCTGTTGGAAGCTCTCAGGGCTATTTGCCCTCTCAGCCTCGGGCTCGCTGCTGTCACACACGGTCTCTGTAGTGCCCAGGCCCAGGTGCCCCGCAGGGAGCCTTGGGAAGGAGGGCCTGCCATCCACTCTTCCTGATTCGAACAAATCCTGGGCCCTGGAGGCTGAGGGCAGTGTCCCCTGACTGACGGGAAGGTGGCACAGGCCAGTGGTGGGAAGCTGGCCCTGTTGTGAGCACATTTGTCTTCCTCTTGCTGTGGGTCAGGTCCCCCCTCCGGCTCCTGCTTGAGGGCCAGCTGGCACCTCCTCTTGGGCCTCACTCCAGGTCACAGCAGGGAGGGGCGGCTTCTTCTGGTCTTTTCTCCACGAGGGGCTCAGGGTGTCTGCCACCAGGCCTCAGCTGTGATTCCTGTGCTGTGGCTCATGGGGCTGCTGTTGGCACCCAGGGCTGACCACTGCTGCTGTGTTCCCCAGTGTCAACCTCCTCCAGGGTGCCGGCTGCTGAGGGCGCGTTGGCCACAGAACCTTGTGGGACCGGAACTGAGGACGCAGAAGCCATTAGCCCGGGAACTGAGGAGAAGCTCTTCATCGAGGTACAGGCACACTCCGCCTTGGAGAATGTGTTAGTCTCCACCTCTGTGGTCCTCGCCACCCTCTGCGGTGTGGCCTTGGGGCAGCAGGCGGGGAGACCTGCCCAGGTGGTTCTGGCACACAGCGAGGGCCCAGCAAGTGCTGTTTGCCCAGCTCCAGACAAGTTTTCCCGAAGTCAATAGCAAAGCAGTTGGGGCTATTCATGTCCCCAGAGCCCCATGGGGTCACCGGGGCTTCTCAGAGCCCCTGTCTCCTGCCTGGCAAGCTTCTCTGTCTTACCGGCCGGCATAGTTCTCATCGCCCTCCAGACGCACTGCTCCAGCCCCGTCCCTTGGGCCTGTTGAGTGAATGTCAGACCCCAGCCTCAGGACCCTTCCTTCCTGAAGCTGTCCTCATGGTGACTGCAGTCTGACACACTGGCCGAGTGACAGCCACCGTGGGAACCCATACCCCTGCCGCAGTGTCCCAGGAACTACTCTGACGGGCAGGACAGGGAAGTGCTCTTCAGCACCTGTCACCGCACCCCCCTTGGGCAGCTGGCACCCTCTCTCCCTGCATCATTATCTTGTTAAACTTCTCAACTGGCGTTTCATTTCTCACACCCAAATCTCAAAATTTCAGGACTCAGCGTTAAACTGATCATGGTCAATATCCTCAGGAGGTTTCTAGTTTTCTGGTTCTTTAGGTAAGAAACAAAATTGGACAACTAATCGCTTAACATTTGAGAACTGACTATATATTAGTATCCTGTATTTTTTGAGTTCTTACTCAGTGTGTGGCATTGGTCTAAGCATGATTTGCATTGACTGATGTAACCCTTCTAATTACTCTAAGAGGTGTATACTATTATCCCAATTTTACAGATGGAGAAATTGAGAGGTTACGCAGTCCGCCCAGAGCCACACAGCTAAGAAGCGGCAGGGTGGGAATTCTAACCCAGGCCGCAGGGCTGCAGGGTTCACACATCTAATCACTGTGCTTTTCCCCTGCGTGCAGATGAACAAACACAGAACAAAGTGAAAGATCTACCAGCTTGGGGAGGTACAAAATATCCCACTAGGGTTCCAAGACTCATCTCTACACCGGTACTTTTGATTTGGGTCCCCTTATTTCTCCCAAAATGAACCGACTATGTCTCCAAAATAAAATGAAGCAAAGATGTGGAGATCCTTGGAGCCTGGCACAGCCTGCAAACTCTCACTTTCCTAGCTTAGAGCCCCTGCTTGAAAAGGCAGCACCGGGCTGGTGACAGTGACATCCGCGTGGGAGCGGTGCTCCTCCTCTGTGCCCAGCAGGCCTATCCCAAAGGCTCCCCACACACCGTGTTTCCTGATCTTGCCTGTCTGGTGACCTGTGGCTCGTTGCCTCTTTCAGGACCTGCCTGACTTGGAAGACATTGATGACACAGGCGCACCTCTGGAAGACCAGGACAAGGTTATCAGTACACATTTGTCCCATAATCAGACCGAATTCCACTTTGTTCTTATCATTCAGCACAGTTTCCTCTCTGGAAAAGTCCTGAGATCAAAGAAAGCATTGCATATGCTCACATTTTTGCCTGAAGGAACTGTAGCTATTTGTTCCTGCTTGTTTTAAGGTGTTCTTATTGGCCACTTGGGTTTTCTTGCACATCCATTTTATTGCTATTTGTAATAACTGTGCACTGTACATAATTACTGGAAAGCATTTTCTATTGTTATGGTGCATTTACATGTTCATCTTAGGAAGGTGTTTGACTAAAGCTACAGAGGGAAGGAAAAGGAGAAGTGAGGGAGGTATGAGTGGGTAAGGCCCACGGGCACTTTCCTAATTCACCTGCCCTCTCCCAGCATTACAGGGGCCTGAGGGAAAAGGAAGCATGGGACATCATCTCTGCATGATGTCGCCATCAAAGGAAACAGGTCCTTGTGGCTGTGGTCACCATGGGGCACTGGTGTCCAAGAGCAAAGTTCCAGAGTGTTCTGCACAAGGATGGGCTAAGGCGTGCCGTGTCAGGGAGGGGCCGGGCCAGTGCGGGGTGCAGTGTGGGGTCCAGGGCGGGGTGGGGGGCAGCAGACTGCAGCACTCAGCAGAAAGTGCTGGAGTCGTGTTCCCTGGGGTCACCGCACTGTGGGCACAGAAGAGCTGCTGGCAGGGTGCGGTTTAGAGTGACTGTCGTGAAAGCAGCATGTTGAAACACACCTATTCCCGCAACAGGAGCTGTGCTTTCCGAAGATCGAGGCCGTCTCAAGCATGACTCATGACAGCGGCACAGAGCTGGACGGTACAGCGCTCCCCAGCCCAGAACGCTCACCCACAGGTGCGCTCTCACACATATTCACAGTCTCCAGGGACACCTCAAAGAAGGCCAAGGCACCTTTCGAAGGTATTTTAAACAAAGAAGTGACGAGGGACGTGGAAATCCGAAGTCAAGACACCAAGTCCACGAGACCGCTCATTCAGGAGCTCCTCGACAAGCCCTCTGGCCAAGCACTAGCCTCCCCGTGTTGCCGGAGAGACACCTCGGAGGGCAGGGACAGGGACGGGCACCCGCCTGGAACCTCTTCCCCAGGTGAGGCACCCAGCCCAGGACGCTGGGGTGGAAGTGGGGGACCAGCTGCACCTCGGTCAGCCCGAGAACCCCAGGTTCCTGGCAGGCGTCTGTGATGGGCCGTGAGACCTGACAGGTGATGCTCCTAAGTCCATGACTCTGAAGTGCCCCGGCCCTGTGGCCATGCAGCTCTCAGTACTCTGGGGGCTGCGGAACCTCCGCTTTCCCCTCCTCACTACCCAGCCCTGGCCTTTCCAGACCCAGGCTTCCGGAGGAGGGAGGAAGGGTGGGGGACAAAACAAGGTGATAAAGGCTCGGGAATTTAGCTCAGCAGCACAGCACCTGCCTGGCAAGTGCGAGGTCCTGAGTTCGATCCCTGGTAACCCCCCCCCCCCAAATAAGCAAAAAAAACCAAGGCGATAGCTGGCATAGTATGGTGCTCCAGGGGCAGGAGAACCTGCGCCTGACATACCAAGCAGGGACAGTGCCCAGTGGCCACCCCTTGTGCTGGTGGCTGGCACTGTGGGGCAGCCTGTGAAGCCAGTGAGCGCACATGGAGAACAAATGAGCTGAGGGCCTTTTGATACCTAGATTGGGGTGCCAGGCATGACTTGTTTCTACCTCCTCATGCCCTCCTGATGGAAGGGGAAGTGGGGAGGGACTGGCTCTGCTCCTAGGAATACTGAGTCCTGGTCTCTTCCAACTCTAGGAGACCAAACTGAAAAGGACAAAGCGCAGCCTGAGGTGGCCTCCGAGGAGCCCAGCATGCGGGCAGGCTGGGGGGACGTGGAATTCCCTTTGGACTGAGCCCAGGGTCCCCACCATCGCACCAGCAGTGACAGGAGTGGACACAGGTCACCTCTTCCCCCCAGTGCTGCCGCCTGCTCAGCGTGCTCTGGGGTCTTGGCTGTGACAGCTGCCTGTGTGGCCCTGCCCCCCTTTGTACCCTCGGCCTTCACTGGACGCTCCTGTGCCCAGAGCCCGTTTCCCTGTCACTTACAGGATAAAGTGTATAAACGTCTCGTCAGCATGATGAAAACGTACTATCAGTGTGCTCCCGGACCGCTGTCTGTGCAAGGCATTTGCCAGCTGTGCTGAGGTTTCCCTCCCAGTGGATCAAACCTTAGTGTCCGTACAACCTCAAGCAAGTGTCCCCTCACCCCCAGCAGAGGGGACACCACGCAGCCTGCAAACATGAGTACTCCAGGTCACATTCGGCTGCCAGGTTTATTCCACCCGTGAGCCTGGCACCCAAGTGTTGCCCTCTACAGACACACACGGGACTGTTCTGCCTCACAAGCTGCCAGCCTGCGCTATGCCTGCCCCCCTCGTCCTGTGAGGCCATGCCAGGGAGTGGCTATGGGGCCTTGTGCCACCAGGTCAGACACGTGGGACAAGTGCCCCCATTTCCTGAAGTTGAGACGCTGGGAGACACAAGGGCCCTGCTTCCCAGCACAGCCCTGCTGTCTCCAGGAACAGCAGCAACACTGGTTCACACCAGGCCTTTTCCCAGAGGCTTCTGGGTCTGTTTGTAGGCAGATGTCCAAAACACAGACTATTGCTTTGTCCTGATCCTTCAACTCAGCTCCTGGTTCCAGCTGCTTTCTTCTAGGTCTCCAATAGCATTCCAGAGGCAGAAAGCTCTACACCAGGAAGTTCTGTTTGTTTTGAGGAAGGGACAGCTGGTCCACGTTGGAGGACGGGCTCAGTGGGAGCAGCACTGGTGCCCTCAGAAGCCCATCCGTGGCCTCTTCCGGTGGGGCTGAGAGCCAGGGGTAGGAAGCCGGGAGGGTGTGGCTTGGACACTGGAGGCCTGGGAGGGGGGTGTGGGCACATGTCCCAGGGGAGGGGTGCCCTTTGTAAGTGGCAGCTCTGCCATGTAGTCCCCAAGGGTCTGCCACCTCTCTGAGTGGTCACCCTGGGCCCACAGTTGCTGAGCTGACTCCTGGGAGTGTGGGGTCACAGGGGGCTGGGGCCTGAGCTCTGAGCTGTGAGGGGGGCTGCTGGTATCTGATAAGTCCAAGCAGCTGGTGAGCGAAGAGAAGGTGCTGGACAGCGGAGTGCGGCGCTTGGGCCGCTTGGTCTGCTTCCCTGGCTCCGAGGCCTTACCCTGCTGTCTCTTCCACCATGTAGCCCCCTGGCCTTCCCAGGCTGCCTCCAGACGCTCACTGAGCTCATCCTGTGGGCCTGGCTCAGGGGCAGGGGGTGGCTCTGCCCGAGGGAGCAGGCCCAGGTCCCTCTGCTGCAGAATCCGCCCCCTGGCCATGGCCGCCCGCAGAGCCTGAGGCACTTTCCCCTCCACCGGCTGGGGCTCCAGGCGGCCTAGCAGGCGGCGATGGGAAAAGGTGGGTGCAGTCCACACAGGGGATGCAGGCGGCACCTGCAGCAGGGCCTCCAGCCAGCGGCTGCACCAGGCAGTGACCTGGGGGGACCAGGAGGGTGGGGGCCTCTGATCCATAGGAGGTGCTGTTGCCCTGGGTGCAGGGGAGTCGGGCCTGGGGTCGCCAGGAGGCCCGCAGTCTCGGTGGAAACTGGTCGCTGCTTGGAGAGCGAGGTGCTGGTAGAAGATATCCCCAGCTGCCGAGAGCTGGAAGAGCCACGCTGTGGGAGTGGAGGCACTGGGCGGGGAGGCACAGGCCAGACCTGGGGAAGGAATGACGATGACCCGGACCCACAGGGCCTGCAGCCCTCGCAGCCCCGAGCTAGCTCCCCATCCGCGCACCTATGGTTGGCGCTTCCAGTCGCTCCTGCAGCTGCTGGTGGCTCTTGGGCTCCAGCAGGGGAAATGCAGAGAGGCAGTCAGTCAGGGAAGGTAGAGACTGGGGGGGCCCGGCCAGTCGGGGTGCAGAGGCCTCCTTTCCTGCAGGAAGGAGAGAGGAGAGAGGAGAGAGGAGGACAGAGGACAGAGGACAGAGGACTGAGGCCCTGGCTCTGGCCCCCTCCTCCCAAGCCCTGCCCACCTGTCCATGGCCTCGCCCCCCAGGCCTCACCTGTGATATGCAGCAGCTGTACCTGCCCACCTAGGCCACCCAAGAACAGAGGCTGTGGGCAGCCAGGACCGGCTGGAGGCAGCAGGCGGGCCAGCAGGGCGGGGGAGGGGAGGTCATGATTCCACTTAAGCATGGGCACCAGGGGCAGGCGTTCATCCACCAGGTAGAGCGAGAACTGGAGGCCAAGAAGGACACGAGGGAGGGGCCTGGCTGAGACCAGCACAGCTGTATGGTAGCCCTTTCCAGGCCCCAGGGCTCTCAGGATTTCTGCACACCCTGGAGGGACAGCACTCTAAACAGGCAGTGCTGCCCTGAACAGAAGGTGCCTCCTGAGCAGGCAGAGGGATGGACTGAAGGGGCCTCTGAAGAGATGTGCAGCAGTCTCCTCACACAGAAGCCACCTGACCTTCCGCCACCTGGGCCTGTGTTTGGGACCCACCTAACATCTGAGATCCTTGGTGGGGGCAGACCCTCAAGTGACCTTGGAACTCCTCCCCTCCCTCTGCACACTTCGGGACCCGGCGGGCAGGCGTCCTGGCCTCGGCACCCCTCCTTGTCTGCAGCTGCTAATCCATAGTGGAGCAAAGCAGGACCACACCGCCAGAGAGGGCTTCCCAGCCTGCCCGCAGGCTCACTGGTCAGGTTCCGTGGGGCTGGTCTGGCTCGCGGCGAGGGGGGTCTCAGGATGGCACAGGGAAGGGGGATTTGCTCACCTGGGTACAGATGAGATGCAGAGTCGGGGGCAGTGACTCGGGGCTGCACTGCCCCGGGTACTGCGTGAGCAGGACACGTTCCCCTTTCTGGCAGGAGGCCTCAGCCCCTGCCCGGAAAAGCAGCAGACCACATCCCGGGGGGCCCTGCGGAGAACAGGTCAGCTGCCCTGCCGCCACTAGCTGGCTCTGCTGCCCCTCAGCCCTCGCCCCATACCTGAGTGTCGACCATCTTCACTCCAGTGCGGTCACCCACAGTCAGCACCCGGGGATGGGCAGTGAAGTCTGCCCAACGCCAGGGAGAAGGGTCCCGGAACACCAGGGTCTCTGGGTCCTTGTAGACTTGCTGCAGCCTTGGGGGGATGGGGAAGCGGGGGCTGACGGCTGGAGGCAGGGCGTGTGTGCTGAGGGGTCGGACCGAAGACCGGTCGGGACACACTGGGGAGGGAGCACGGGCTCTGCAGTGGTGGAGGTTTTTAGGGGGAAGGGCATTACCCATCCTGGGGGGTCCACAGACAGACGGCTCCGGAACGGCTGCAGATGGCCAGCTCCCCAGGGAGGTGAGGGCTACAGGCACACTGTGATTAGCGTGGCCAGGCGCCCTCCGCCTAGGCCCACCTCCCCGCTGAACACCCCTCACCTGAGACTGATCCCCGTGGCCCCCTTCGCAACCCGCAGCACCTGCAGAGGGGCCGGCCGCCGCTGCCTCCTCACCTTCCACACAGCACAGTGGTAGTCAGAGCGCACAGCCAGCAGCGCTGAGGAGGGATGGAAGGATCAGGCCCTGGGGCCAGGCTGCAGGCCTGCCACGGAGGGACAGGGGTGCCTAAGGGCCTTACTTTCTCCTTGGACAGTGTTGGTCACCACCTGGCGCACAGGTCCCTGGAGCTGGATGCACCCAGGGTCCCCAAGGACCTGGGGGTCACTGCCTGAGGTCAGACTGACCTCCTGGAAACCTGAGCCTCTGGCTAAGGAAAAGGGATGAGCTCTGGCCACTGTAAGCCCCAACTTTCTTGCCCTTTCCCTGGACCCCTGCCTGATGAGAAAGGATACGAAGCCTGTCCAGGGCACCGCCAGCTGGGTAGACCAGCTGGCCCACCTGCGGGGTCCTTCCAGGCAGCCAGGCCAGGGTGCCTCCAGTGAAGGCCTCATCCAGGAGCAGCTGCTCCCAGCGCGTGGCCAGCTCCTCGTGCAGCAGCCTCCCCAGCAGACTCGACACTGACTTGCCCAGCACCGGGCCCCCAACGATGGCGAAGCGGCGCAGTCGGTGGCTGAGGTGGGCCCAGGGACACCTGGGGACAGCAGAGGCTCACTGGGGCAGTGGTGAGAACAAGGACTGGGGACCATCCCGAGGGAGGGCAGGCACAGAGCACATGGCCCTCATCTACCTAGTTTCCTTCTTTGGGGGCCACCACCCTGTCCCCTCACCGGGGCGCAGCCACAAGACCCCCACCTGGGCAAGCTGTCCACCACCATGGCACAGTGATTGGTTCACAGCTGGGCGTGAGACCCCCGCCAGGCCAACCAAAGTCCTTTCTGGGACTTTCGGTGCCTCAGGAAGGACACTGACTCTTCCCTTGGAATCATAAGCCATCTTGCTGCCACATGACAGCAGCCTTGCTAGGAATTAAGGCAGGCAGAGGGAAGCAGTGAGAAAATAAAAACATGGAGCCCCGTCGCCATGACTCTAATGCCAGGCCGCAGCTAGGCACAAAGCCCATGGACCGAAACCGCTTTTCCCCTAAGCCAGCTGGAAGGGGTGTGGCTCACGCTGCTGGGCTGGGAAGGAACACGATGGGAGACCTGGATCGGCGTCCCAGTGCCTTCTACATCCCACCATCACTAGGCCTACCTGGCCCGGCCCTTCCCCCTCGCCACTTGCCCCCAGGGCTGGTGTCCACCGAGGTCCTGCAGCAGCCTCTTAGCGCTGACCACTGTCATCTTCTTAGAGCGGTTCTGTGTGGAAAGGCCTTGTCAGGCTCTCACAGCCTGGATTCTGAGCGAGGTGGAGGGGACAGGATGGGAATTGGGGGCTCTTCTCCCAGCCAGCGGGGGTTACTCACCCGGCCTCCCTCCAGTTTGAAATTCTCCAGCATCATCTTCCCCAGGGGACCAAAGGCTATGTCCCCATGATTCCACAGGAACCTGCTGAGCTGGGGCAGGAGAAGCCCGGTCACTACGCACACCCCAGGCCATGTAGTGCCCTCCACTGTGGGACCACTCACCTGTTCAGTGACGTCCAACACGACCTGGGGCTGCCTCCGGTAGCGGAAACCGCCTCGGAAAAGGAGGTCCTGTGCGGTCACACCAGGGTCCCAGGGGTCTGAGGGGAGAGGGAGGTGAGGGAAGGGCAGGGAAGACACAGGCTATCGTGGAGAGGTGGGCTTGAGCAGTGACAGACAGGGAGCTCAGAGGCCTGAGACCCTTACCGGGACAGGGAGGCAGCAGCGGGAGGGGCCCAGGCATCGCTGGCTCCCATAGCAGGGCCTCGGCCAAGTGCGGAGCTGTGTTCTGGAGGGAAAAAAACCACCACGATGACAAGACAATCCTCACAACAACCCTCCAAAGTTGGTAGAGTGTCAGCGTCATTTCACTGATGCAGAAACTGAGGCACAGGAAGGCTGCCACTTGCCCAGGTGACAGCTGATAAAGAGAAGAGCTGCCATTTGAACCCAGGCCGAGTTCGTGTTTCTGATCTCTGCTTGTGCTAGCTCTCAAGGAAGGAGGCCCTGATGCCATTACTGGCTGACCAGAATCCTACCTAACTCTCACTTTCTCCTTCCAGTCCCTCATATCAGGAACCGGAAGCTCATTCCACCTCCCAGAGCTGGGTTGGCTCAAGGGCAGACCAAAGGGCCCGCAACTGAGGCTCCCAGAGGGACTGGCCTTGACTCTTGATTCCTCTTCCTGCCCTGCTGAAACCTTTTATCCGCTCACCCACTTGCCCCTGACTGCCTGTGGCTCAGGATTCGAGGAGGCAGTTCAAGTCTTGGGCGGTCTGTCCTCCCTCCCGCCCCCTTCTGCTGCCTCAGAACCCCCTGGGTTTTGCTCAGAGCCATAAGCACACGGAGTGGTCATTTTACCCACGGGTCCGTTCATGTGATCGCTCATCCTGACCCAGTCCAGGGCAGGGATCACCTGACCCATCCCAATTCACACACAGCGTGCATTATTGGCGCAGACAGGGGCTGCTGAACCTAACAGGATGAGAGTCTGGGGGAGAGGGAGGCAGGCAAGAGGGAGCTACAGCTTCCACTGAGTGATCTATGGATGGCAGTCCCCTTGCCCCCAAAGGAGCGGGTCCTGCGTGGCCTGGGTACTGGCACACTTGCACTGATGCCGCCCACTCTGCACCATGCCAACGGGTATGACTGCTAACAAGGGGACCGAATAAAAGGGCCTAGCCGGGAGCCGCCGGGGCCCCTTCCATCCTCACCTTACAGTCCTGGGGTGGGGACTCTGGCAGGGTCAGCGCGTCTCTCCAGCTGCACATAAAGGACAGGTCGGGGACATCGCTCACACCAAGGGGGCCAGTCAGGAACAATGAGGGGCGGAGGGAGCTGGGGAAGTCCATCCTGGAAAACACCACCTAGCGTCACACCAGCATTCTCTGGACGCATGACACTGAAAAAGACTCCCAGAGTTCCTGGGGAGTGCACAAAGCGCCCTAAGACAGGGATATTTTCTTTGACGAAGCAGTTACTAAAAATCAAACGAATATGCAGCCTAAAGCCAAAGAGTAGTAAACAGAAAACCACCCACCCACCCACCCACGCACGCACGCACGCACGCACGCACGCACGCACGCAATGTGAGGGAGGGGGCGGTGCTGGGCAAGGACCTACTTTCAGTAATGGCAACCAAGGAAAGCCCGCACCTCATGAGGGAGACACCGCACGCACCTGGGAGGCGTTCCAGGTAGAATAACCTGCAAATGCGAAAGTCCTGGGGGAGAAACGCGTGAGAAACAACTAGGAGGTCACAGGATGAACAAGGAGAGTGGGGGGGGGGGGTGAGGTCAGCTTCTGTCATAGCTCTTATGTACTACAATGACCTGTGCAGACCACACTACATTCATAAGGCTACGCTCCAGTCCCTCCACAGCTAGGGAGTGAATCTCATTCATCTGTCTCTAACTGTCAAGCACAGTGCTTATCAGAAAATGTACCTTGTGTTGAATAAAAATAAACTTACACCAAAGAGCTCTGCTAAATACAAAGCCCTCTAGGAGTACAAACAGCCCCATCATTCCTCTTTTATTACAAAGACAGCAGCATCACTGAACACCAGCATCTGCCAGGTGTGTTGCTCCATGCTTTGTTCTTCTAGTGACTATACTTTGGGCTTCAGGACCCTAAGGGTCAGGAAGCCGTAACTTGCTCAAGTGTGACAGCAGGGACTGCCAGAGCCACACCCTGATCCTCATCGAATTCAGAGCTGGAGTTGTGAGCCACTACTCTCCCGGGCACCAGAAGCAAAACCTGCATTACAGTCTTAGTAAGCAAAAATCTTTCCCCATGGAACTCCTGCTGCATTTTATCCATTTTTTCTGCAACCTCCATGAACATCCATGAACCCTCAGCATTGTGCACATAGCCCCTAACAGTTCAAGTAATCATGTGCCAACAGAAGACTATTCATTCCTCAGGGCATGTGTCCTCTTGTTCTAATTAGACACAAGTGCCACAATTGTAACAAGACTGACACATGCCCTGAGGGGCATGTATTTTTTCCACTTTCACTACCACTACAACTACGACATGAGCTCTTTGAGGACTGGGACTGCATCTGATTCATCCCCGAGTCCCTGCTGTGGTGGTTGCTGTCACTTTCCTTTCCCTAACAGGAGGGAACAGTTGCCAGGGATGGAGGAAGTGCTCAGTGAATCCTTGTGAAAAATGTGGCTTTCACAGGACAGCACCCAGCCCTCCCAGAGATAGCTGCATTCCTGATAAACTGGAAGACGCACAGAAAAGGTCTTCTGCTGCCTCTGGGCTCCAAACACACTGATCTCCTTTAGGCTCTTCCTTGCCATGCTATTTCTCACCACAGGGCCTTTGCCCATCCTGTCTCTGCTTGGTAGCACCAGCACGTTCCCAACTGCAAAGCCCTTTGGCTCTTGAGTTAGGGATGCCTCTCCCAGTTCCCCAACCCCTGGCTCACGAGGTAGGATAGAATAAAAGATAGGTAGAAAGGAGACAAGGGAAATCTTAACTTCAAAATTGTACTTTAAAAAACTTGCAGCCTTAGGACACAACCAAAGTTACCCAAGGTTATAAATTTTTTTGCCCCTTCCAGGATGCTCACTCCTAAATTCCTAAGCCTTAAAAAAATACAACAGGCCCATGCTTTCTTTTACCATAGATCCATAAATCCCAGGACCTCTATCCTCAAGAACACATAAATATGCCCACCCTGATCCTAATGCACCTCTCCCCTGGAACGCCTACACTCCCTTCTAAGTGCGTACGTCTTTAGTTTTGCTTAGTAAACCTATCTATTCCTCTCAAAGTCCAAGTCTTGAAATGCTCTTCCAAGACAAGTCAAGAACCTAGGGCTGGGGATTTAGCTCAGTGGTTTTGCCGCCTGCCTGCCTGCCTTGCAAGCACAAGGACCCGAGTTTGATCCCTGGTACCAAAAAAGAACCTACACTGTGGGTGGGGACAGTTGAGGTCCCCAACTCCTCTTTAGGGGGACCTCCTAGTACTTTAGGCAGAAGACACCAGGCTGCTGGGGTGGGACTGGGCCCAAGGTAGAGTCAGAATGACCAGGCTGTGGTCAGATAAGAAGAGGTCAAGCAAGAGTAGATAAGAACCAGATGGACAATTAAGTCCAGGGACTTAACAAGCAAGGTGATGGACGGTCACTATGACAACTTCTGCTCCTACATATCTGGAAAATGTTTTTTCTTTCTCACTTTCTTTTTTTAATAAACCACTTGGATAGGATAGAGGCCCAGAAGCACTGCAGATGTACCCTTGCTATGTGCCTCGACTCTGGCTGTAGTTCTATAGGTTGAACCACAGAAGTCTGAGCCCTGGTCATTCTGGTATAAAAACTCCTAGACAAAAAGTTCCCATGGCAGCCCACTTTTTGATACCCTCCCAACTCCTGGGAGCTGTTTTTCTATTCTTTTTTTTTTCCTTTTTCTATTCTTGATTCCTCCTTTCAACTTCATTCTTTGACCTCCTGAGACGTGGACCCAAATCCCACCATTACACTAGACCCTGCCTGATGACACTCCCACTACACCCTGTCTCCTCCCACCAGAGTGTGTGTAGCAAGCTGTGATTGGAATTTAAAAATGAAGCTGTCCGATTAAAACTGCCCCAACAAGCCAGGCGTGGTGACGCACGCCTGTAATCCCAGCACTCCCGGAGGCTGAGGCAGAAGGATCGCCGTGAGTTCGAGGCCAGCCTGGGATACATGGTGAGTTCAGAACCAGCCTGAACTACAAAGGGAGACCCTGTCTCAAAAACAAACAAACAAACACACAACAAACAAACAAAACTGTCCAAACAGGCCCCTTACAAAAGGAACTGTATAGTCTCCCTAACCCTTAGTGATTCCTACAATGGCAACAACCAGTACACAGAAGTACATAAATATGAAAGAAGGACAAATCTAGGAATGGCTGAATGGGAAGAGAAAGGTTCCAATAGCCCAAAACAAGCCCAGGCAGGCGAGGGCGCCTCAGTAAAGCCCCCCAAAGCAGCCCCGACTACCCCTGGCCGGCTTCCCGCCCCCGCCGGAGCTCCCCAGGTCCTACACCTCCACTCCAGGGCGGCAGAACCCGGCTGCGCCGGCATCAGCTCCAGGCGGAGCACACGTGGGCCTGGAACAGGGGACCGGGGTTCGGACCCCGCACCCCCGGCACCTCCTCGCGCTCTCGAACATCCCAGACCCGCGCCGAGTCTGCGCGTGCACTTCCGTGGCCGCACTTCCGTGTGCTTGTCGGGGAAATGGACTACCCCGAGACACTCGCCTAACCTTCGTGCCACAAGGGAACCCGAAAGCAGCACTCCATCAACGGCACTCACACAGAGCCCGCCCCAACAGCAGCAGTGAACGGCCTTCCGTTTTGGGCCGGAAGTGCTCCCTGGGTGACAGGAACTCCCGCCTCCCAGCCCGACCCCACGAGCGCCCTCGATCTCCACCTACCGAGTGGAAGTGGAACAGCAGTAGAAATAAATTCCATCAAGTTTTAGAATTGGAGGACCGGGATTGACTTTGATTCAAACCCCACCTATGCTTCAGCAACTTCCTATCTGACAGAGCGGTTGTGAGGACTAAGTTAATTCACTCAACAAACGCTGAGCACCTACTGTAACCCAGGCACTGTATTAGTCTTACATACCTTCCTGATTGTCCTTAAATGCTAAGGAGCTGGCTTTACAAATAAAGACACAAACGCCCTTGGATGTGAGGCTGTCCCAGGGATGCCCAGGTGGAATAGCTTTAGGCAGTGGTTCTCAAACTAGCGTACATCAGCAGCCCTCTGGGTGGTTCTTAAACTCTGTCAGATTGAGGTTGGAGTGAAGACTTCCTGCTTCCTGCCACTCCCCCCGCGCACTGGGATTAGGGTTAGGGTCTCCTACATACTAAGCAAATGCTCTCCTACTGAGCTATACTCTCAGGAGCAACCCCCAGTTACCCCCCCACACAGAGTAAGTCTTGTGCCCCGCCCCCAGACTAAGTTACCCAGGCTGGCCTTGAAGTCATGATTCTTCAGCCTCTGCTTCCAGAGTAGCTGAAATTTAGAGGTGTGCACCACCACATCCAGCAGGGCCACACTTTAAGAGGCACCATCCAGTCACAGATCTTACCATTATCCTAGCCCAGGAGTTCTCTAACTTCTGTGTGCACTGGAAGCATCTGGAGGCCTAGTTAGGACTGTTTGCTGAGCCCCACCCCAGAGTTTTTGATTCAGTAAGTCTGGGACATGGCTCAATTATGTGAACTTATAACAAGTTCCCAGGTGAAGCTGATGCTACAGGGTCCACACTTTGAGAAATGCTGTATTAAAGGATCAATTTGCAGATTCTCAGCTTCTATCTCTGCATAGTTTCTACTGGAGGACGGTGCTTGGAATCTGATGGTCCGTTCCCATCTTCCCTTTCCCAGGTACTCCCTTCCCACCATGGAGTATTGGCCTAGGATGCCACTGAACAAGAGGGAGATTCTAAAGAGCAGACCTCTTATGAGAAAGAACCCTTATAAGACTAAGTAAAGCAGGTTCAGTGAAGAAAAACAACAACAACGATTGAAGGGTGTAGTAGGGAGATTTGGGGAGCTATTATTTCTTCAACAGAGCACTGGTTACATGAATATGGGCAGTGTGTGAAAATTCAATGAATGATTTATATATGTAACATTATACTTCCATAAAACATCTTTTCAAGAGAGAAAAGAAAAGAACACTGCTAGCCATGATGCCTTCTCCCATCAAGACTTCAACTCTTGGTTAGGCTATGGATTTTTAACCAGCTACCTTGGAATTGAGATGTCTCCCTACAAGGTCAGGAAATCTGTCTGGAGAAGTCCCTCGCAGAAGTTGTTGTATCCCTAACAACTAGAAGAGCAAATTTTCCTTAAATATTGAGTCAGTGAAGAGGTAATGAAATGGGATGGTTCTCCTGGAAAAATGTCAGCACACTTGTTTAAATTGAAAGATGAAGTCAGGCTTTCTGATGGGAAGTAGGTCTGACTTAGCTGACTTGTTTGACTCAGAGCATGAGCTTTGCCATTCCATTATCTGGGTCTGCATTTTTCCTAAGTGGAAGAGCTAAGATGCCATTTCCATGGTTTGGGTAAAAATATATTTAAAGGATGACTGTACCATATAATAAGTCAGAAATTACATCTTTGTAACCAAACTTGTGATGAAAGAATCAGGGTCCATAGGTTTTTCACAATTATTTGAGGGTGTATGTCTGCAAAAAATGGGGGGGACACTTAAATCAGTTTCCTGTTGCTGCTGTAACAAGTTACCACAAACCTAATGGCTTAAGACAACCCAGTATCTTACAGCTCTGAAGGTCAGAAGTTTAACACAGGTGGCACTGGGCTCAGGTTAAGGTGTCAGCAGGGCTGTGCTCCCTAAGGAGGCTTAAGGTGCGAATCCATTGTCTTCTTTTTCCAGCTCCTGGAAGCTGGCTTCATTCCTCATCGAACCCCTCCTTCCCTCTTCAAAGCCAACAGGAGCCAGTCACATCTTTCTAATGAGGCTATCTGTGTGGCTGTCTCTCTTCCCTACTCTAGGACCCTTGTGATTACACTGAACTCACCTGGATAACCCAGGACTGGCGAAGCCCAACCAACCTCCAATGCTGCTTGACAAAGTTCCAGCTGGGGGAAAAGGAGGGTGGAACACATCGTACCCTCATGTTTTATTTTTTCTTGCCCTAATGTTTACAATTGTTACTTTGGTCACAGGAATCATTGTATTTGTGACTAACAACATATTCTCCATGATGCAAATTGGCAATGTTGTAGTGAAATCTGATCTTGCTCAAAAGTCCCAAATTCCTGTTTCTCTTAGTTTTATTGTCACACCCACTTCTAAAGAAACCCCTCCTAAAAATCCCTCTGTTTTCCTGACACTGTAACTCCTTTCTTCTATTGATGACTTTCTTTTTACTAAAGGGGTCTTATAAAGAGATTGAAAGGACAGATTTTAGATGTAAGACACAGTGGAAAATGGGAAATAGAAAGAAAGTTAAGACAGATAAATACACTAAGGAGGCAAGTTACTCAGCTTTTCTCAAAGTACTGTAAACATTTCCTGCTCATGGACCATGAACCCAAATAACATTTAAGCAAGATGAATAAAGGTATAGAAAAAATAGAGAGCTAATAGCAAACTATATTAACCATTGTGCAGTTTCTCAAGGGCCAGCTGACGACCACAAGTTTGACATTTAATTAACTAAATCTTGCTTGTATCCCCGCTGATATAGAGATTTTGATTAAGTTACTTTCTGTTCTGCTTAGGTGTGGGTAAATAAGGGGACAATTGTAATTTTTAAATGTATTCATGATGTTCAATGAAATGAATCAGCTTAGGAAAAATATACTTTGTTTAGTAAAAAATAACCTTTATTTCTATAGAAATTGCTAAGGCAACCTAAAATGTAAACATGTTCTGCCCAATGCCTCCTGGCCATTGCTTAAAGATATAAAAATAAATCAGACCCTGAGACTTCTCAGAGGGAACCTGCACATTGCTTGTGAAGGTTCTTTTCTCACTCGCCGGCCTGAGACCTCTCCCCTTCCTACCCTGCATCGACTGCAGCTGGTCTGCGGCACAGGACCATCTCTGTTTCGGCTTGTGTCTGGATGTCCCCCTAAAGCCTCATGCGCTCACAGGTGGAACTCTGGGAGAGCTAGTTTTTGGCTAGCATGCACTTGCTTTTAATTTAAGAAAGGCCTGAGGTGAAGTTTTGCAGTAAGGATGCTAATAATTCAGTGGAGCTGCTACAGTGTGCACAGTTGCCCTTGGCGGAGGAGGACCCAGTCTCAGGAGAAGTGGCTAGATAGAACTGTGGTTTGGGGGTGTCCTGGGGTAGAAGCCCGAGTGTGAGTCCTACAGAGCATCTTCTCCTGCTCTTCCTTTATCCACCCACGGCTAGAGAAGAGGCAGATGCAGTGACACCCCCCCCACACTCCACCCCACTCCACCCCACTCCCACAGCCCCGCCCTGCAGCTGGAAGTTGGTCGGGTGGCTCCGCAGTTCCAAGGTCTGCACTCTTGCCTTCCCATTGGTCAGTCATACCACGCCCGCCCCAGCTCTGTACACCCTCATTGGCCAGAACTAGGTAGAGGCGGAGCTTGCTATCAGGCACGTGCTCACCACGCGGGAGCGCTGGCGTGTAAAAAGCCGCAGGCGGCACGAGATCTCGTCTCCTCCATAGTCAAGGCCTTCGCTTTCCGCCATGGCTTCGCCGGCCGGCACGGGCACTGGCGCCGAGGATGTCGGCCGCAGGAAGCTCCGCCTGGCAGCGTCGCTGCAGATCAACCCCCCACGCAGCGACTGGCGGTCGTCAGCCAGCATGGGCTGGGATGCCTGGGGATCCCCGGCCGCCCGCAAGGCTGAGGAGGACGTGGAGGGGCGTGAGCAGCCCCAGGCCTCAGCTGCGGCGGCAGGGGACTGTGGCCCGGAGGCCGGGGCCAGCGGTGGCGGCGGGAAGCATGGGACCACACGGGCTGGGGACGACGCGAGGGTGTCTGTGCCACCCACAGGGCTGGCGGGGGACCTGCTGAAGGTGGCCGGGCAGCTGAGATTGCCGCCCGCGGACCCGCCCCCCGGCCAGGCCGTGGCCTTGCTGGCGCAGTACGCTGCGGGGCTGGGCGCCACGCTAACCTTCCACGAGGACCCTGCGGCAGGTGAGGTGGTGACAGAGACGGGACTGGGAGGGGAAGGGCAGCGTCTCCAGCTGGGGTCCAGGGCTCATGGGTGACTTGCTGAACCCAGGGGACACGAGAGAAAGACGGAGTTAGACCTGAGCCTGGGACCTTCAGGGAGGCGGTGGGGTCGCAGGGTCCACCAAACATCTGCTGAGGTCAGATGTGGCAGGATTATGGCTAGATGAATATTATTATCTTCTGCACACTTATTTTTGAGACAGGGTCTTGCTAGGTAGTTTAGGGTAGCCTTGAACTCACTGTGTAGCCTAGGCTGGTCTCAAACTTGCATCAATCCACCTGCCTCAGCGTCCCAAGTGCTGGGATTACAGGCATGTGCCACCCAGCATCTACACACTGTTTTAAAGGTCCAATTATATGCAGTTTCCCTTGCCACACCAGTGTAGGAGATTCCTGAATGAGGCCTGGCCCATGACTTAAAGATTTTGTTGTAGTCAGCAGGATTTGGCAAAGGAATACATTAAATACAAGACATATAACTTATAAGATTATTTTATGATAATTACCCAAAAAGTCAAATGCAAAGGAGTGCAAGAGATTAACCACACACTAGAAGCCCAAAGAATTCAGCTGAGGGCCTGGATCCCAGAAGCTTCCCACACAAGTCCAGCTAAAGGCTTAGTCCAAGGCAATGTCCTCCTCGAGTCCAGCCAGTGGCCTAGAGCCCATGGCGATGTCTCATGCTTGTCTGTACTGAGGGGCTGCACCTGGAGGGCTCAAAGGCCAGTGGTGGAAGCTAGAAAACCTATGCCAGTGAGATGAAGGATTTGTGCCACCAGGCTGAGAGATCTACATTGGAGCCAGGAAGTGATGCTCACAGTGAAGATCAGAGCTCCCCTGACGAGAACAGCAGCCATTCCCAAGGACAGGGAGGCCTGAGCTCCTCCGATGAGAACAGCCTAGTTCCCATCAGGAAAACCATCCGCAGCAAGCTTCTCCTAGAAAAATCAACAGGCAAAGGGACTCCAGTTCTTTTTATGGCGATTGGTAACAGTCCTCAGGTGGATCCTTCACGCCTAGACCGCGCTGATTCAGTTCAGCTGGGTGGTACAAGTGGCCCATTAGTCAATCCACCACAGATAGTGAACACAATTTGGTAAAGGCAATACTATACTGTACACACAGCCTAAGAATAATCATGACCAGTCCTTTTCTCTTCCTGAGTACAACCTCTAGCTCTCCAACTCAAACAGAGCCCCAGTGTGAAAGTTAATTTCAGACCCCATGTCTAGGGGCTCTGCACCCCTAGACATGGTAGTATATATTTCTTAAAGACATGGAACAGAACTACAGTACAATGATCAACTTGTGGAAGTTTAATAAACGCTATCATTTAGTTGCCATAGTCACTTCTTCTGTTTCCCTTTCTCTTTTCCCTTTCCTGTTGTCATTGTTTCATGGTCCTGAGGATTGAACCTTGGGCCATCACACTGAGCTACATCCTCAGCCCTTTTTAAAATTTTAATTGAGATGGGCTCTTGCTAAGTCAGTAAGTTGCCCAGGCTGGGCTCAAATCTGTGATCTTCCTGCTTCAGCCTCCCAGAGTGCTGGGATTCCAGATGCACGTCACCACACCCATTCTCACACTCACGTTTTCCCAGTTTGTCCCAGCAGCTCCATAAGGGCCGTTTTGCCCCCTTCCCAGCATGACATAATGCACTTGGCCATCACACTTATCTTTCTATCTAAGACAGTTATTCCCTCTTATGTCTTGCATGACCTTGCTCTTTTTAATTTTGATTTTTCTTATTACTGCATGTTTGCAGTACATGATGATTCCATCCGTCATGGGGGAGTTGATGCATGTACATGACACATCTTAATTCTTTTTACTTCCTCTTCCCCTCCCCTCCACCTCCCTCCCTCCCTCTATCTCTCGGTGTCTTTGACCTTGATATTTTTGAAACGTAATGCCCAGTGGTCTTGTCAACTGTCCTTCAGTTTGGACATCTGTTTTCTCAGAATCTGGTCCAGTCTGCATTGTAATGGTGGCCATGGGGGTCTTAGGATCTCAGTGGGTCTTTCAACTGGCAGTCATGAGGGTAGGGTGGAATCCGCCAGGTGTCTTTGCTTTCCTCTTTGTGCTTAATAGGTCATCTGAAGGGAAGCATTTGGAGCCTGTGTAAATATCCTGTCCCATAGCACAGTTACTTTGTGGTTTTAGCCTCCAGACGCAATCATGCCAAATTCAGTTGCTGCAGTGGCTGCCGCATGGTGGTTTTCTAGAGGCAGCGTTCTTTCTGTGTTCATCTACGCTGTACTTGCTGGTTTTGTCACCCTTTGGGTTGGTGCATCTCAGTGCCGAGGGGGGTCCCTTCCTGAAGGCCAGGCCTCTGGAGAGACAGTTTAGCAGCAAGTACCATGAACTTTAAAATGTTCTGGCCCTTTGACCTGTGACCCCAGTTCTAGGATTTTCATCTGTCTTTGTCCTGTTATAAGCAACACATGAAATGATGGTGTTGGAGAGAAAAATCTTCCAAATTTGGGGTCCCTGGAGGAGGAAGGAAATAAAAGGATGTGCCTGGCAGCCGGCAGGAAGCTGTCTGGGAGCTCAGGTCCTGGTCCTGAGACACAGCACAGGCTCGGAGGTGGACCTGGACTTGGGTCCTGGCCTCGCTGGGCCAAACTGCCTGCCTTCCTGTGCTTCCCCACACAGTGGAGTCACGGCAGCTCTGTCCACAGAGTCCCCGGAGAGGGAGGGTTAGGGCTGGTCCTTACTCTGGTTGTCCTCGAGCAGGTGTCAGCAGGGAGCCTCAGCGAAAGTGGCTGTGGTGGCCCTTCCTAGAAAGGGCTCCTCCCCCACACCTTCCTTCCCCAGGTCCTGGCTCCCCCTTCTCCGTGTGTGCAGAACTGGATGGGATGGTGTGCCCCTTGGGCACTGCGAACACCAAAGTGGAGGCCAAGCAGCAGGCGGCACTCTCTGCCCTGTGCTACATCCGGAGTCAGCTGGAGAGCACAGGTAACCCAGCCCCTGGGCAGGAGGTGCAGGGTCTCAGTGGTTAGGAGGAGGCGGAAGCGGCTCTAGGCTGTGTGTGGGCCAGGTAGTTGCCAGGACCATCTGGCATTCCCGGCTAGGGAACTGGGCTGACCCCTGCTCTGGGGTCCTTGGAAGTCCTGCCCGCACTGGGGCCAGCACCACGAGCGAGTGGAGCAGCTTGGGGACCTTTCTGTCTGGAAGTGGCAGCTCTTCTCCTTGGCTTCTGGAAGGGTGGGAAGTCAGGCCTGGCACCCACGGCAACCAGCTCCCCTTGCCTCTTTCAGAGCCCCGCGAAACCCCCTGCCAGCCTACGGTCACTGACCCAAGCAAAGATAGGTTGGCTCTTGGCCCAAGCCCCAGATCGGGGAGGCAGGCAAACCGGTGGGCCCCACTGCTGCCCTTTGGCCCTTGTGCAGAGGACATCCTGCCCCACGAGCAGCGCTGCGCAGCCGTGGTCAGTGCCGGCTTGGACCGCCTGCTGGGCGATGACTCTCCCTACAGGGCCTGCATGGGGACAGTGGCTGCAGTCATCCTGGAGCACGGTAGGGTTCACCCCATCCCCTGCCCCACCTTGGCCGGCCCCCTTGGGCCCCTGCCCTGGGCTGAGCCTTTTCTGCCTCCTCCCTGCACAGAGCTCCCGGGTGCCAAGGGCCACACCAAGGAGATCTATGAGCTGGTGGCACTGGGCACAGGCAGTGGCACCTGTGCCAGCTGGCTGGAGTTCTCGGGCCGGCAGTTGCACGACTGTCATGGTCTGATCATCGCACGCCGGGCCCTGATGAGGTGAGGGTAGGTGGGTCAGGCTCTGCCACAGCCCTGGGGGGACAGTGGTCCCAAGTCGTCCTCTGCCTGTCACTCCAGGTTCTTCTTCCGGCAGCTGCTGCTGGCCACGAAGGGGGGCCCCAAAGGCAAGGAGCGCTCTGTGCTGGCCCCCCAGCCTGGGCCCGGGCCCCCTTTTGCCCTCAAGCCCCGGATCTTCCTGCACCTGTACGTCAGCAACACTCCCAAAGGAGCAGCCCACGACATCTAGTATGTGGGGTCCCCGAGGCCGGGGTCCCCAGCTTGGCTCCCTGAGGAACCATGGTCAAAAAATGCCCTGTCGTCTGCAGCCTCCCGCCGCCCTCGGAAGATGGCCTTCTGCTCAGCTCCTCCTTCCGCCTCCAGGCCCACATCTGCGGGCAGTTGAAGCCGGTGTCCTACGTGGCGCACACACTCCGAGACACCCATGTGGGCTGCCTGTCAGCCAGCGACAAGCTGGCGCGCTGGGCAGTGCTGGGGCTGGGTGGCGCTCTGCTGGCCCACTTCCTGCCCCCACTCTACGCCACCAGCCTCATCCTGGGTAAGGGGTGGGAGGGGCGTCAGGGCAGGGAGCAGGCCCTGGGGACTTGGGGTGGTGCTGACTCACGCTGTGTCCTGTGCCTCTGCCCCCAGCTGATCCCTGCCATGACCCCCCGACTCTGAGCAGGGCCATTCACGACCGGCCCAGCCTAGACAGCACCTCGGGGTCGTGCCTGCCACCTCCCTACGTCCGCACCACCCTGCACCTGTTTTCAGGGCCCCCTGTGGCCCCCTCCAACCCTGTCTCCAGCGCCTCCCACGGCCTGAGCCTCAACTGGAGCCTGGGGGACCCTGACGTGGAAGTTGTGGATGTGGCTACTGGCCGCGTGAAGGCCAAGTGAGAGAGGCTCCATGGAGCTGGGTTGAGGGAGGTCTGGGTGGGGGGCTCCCCACTCCCTGCTGGGGGGCAGTGAGAGCCTGCGTAGTTCTCACCTTGGCTCAGCCCCTCACAGGGAGTGGCAGTGGCCAGTACCCTGTGGCTTGTGATAGTGCCACATAATGAGAGTGAAGAGTGGGCCAGGCCTACTGTGCTCTTCCCTTAGCCTCTTCATGTCCCCCTGACCTCCACGCGTCCTCTCAGGGCCACGCCTGGGCCTCCTTCCCGTCTCTGTAAGGCTGCCTTCCTGCGGGCCTTCCGCCAGGCCGCTGCTGCTCTGGGTCAGCCCCACCTCCTGGCCCTAAAGACCTATGAGGCTGCCAAGGTGGGTCTTCTTCCCCCCGCCCCTCCCCTAGACCCTCTGTGCCCCTGCAAGGGCCCTCTCACCTCTCCTGCCCTCTCCGTCCAGGCTGGACCCTACCAGGAGGCTCGCCAGCAGCTGTCACTCCTCCTGGACCAGCAGGGCCTGGGCTCTTGGCCTTCCAAGCTACTGGTGGGCAAATTCGGGAGCTGAGCTGGACTTTCAGGGGGCTGAGATCCTTGCAGAGCTGCAACCCCAGGGAAGGCCCTTTGGGAGCAGGGAGGGCGTGGGGTATGCCGGGTGAACTGGGTCGGGGCTGCAGTATGGGGTGAGGGCTGCTGCCCATTTGGGTTCGAATAAAGAAAAGGTTTCTGGTGTTTCTGGGTATGTGCATGTTGTGGGGGAGCCAGAGGCCAGTGGGATTGGGAGGAGTGTTTCACCTCTCTTTGAGAAGCCTCACGTCTGCTGGGCTCTCACCTGGATCCCCTCCTCCCAGTCACTGCACTGTTGTGGGCACTAGTTGACACTGGTGGAAGCAGCTTGGAGGAAGGTAGGTTCCCTGCCCGCTGCTTGTGTACAGGGCCGTGGTGGAGCCCTAGCTGCTTCCAGCAGTGTGGGTGCAGGGCCACTCACTATGGAGACTCTGATTCCTTCCTGTCCAGGGCTTGGACCTGGGGCAGCAGCAAGGGACACGTAGGCCCATCCTGGCCTGTGGAGGAAGCCCTATGGGTCTGAGCAGCCCCAGGCTGAAGGGTGCAGGCTGGGCAGTGGCTTCAGCAGTTCTTGTCCCAGACCACCCAGCTGTTGGAACTGGGAAGGTCCTGTGGCTTCCAGAGCCTGCCTGCTCCTCTGTGGCGAGGGACAGTGCTCCTCCAGCTCCAGCTCTGTACTTCTTCCTCCCCCCTCTCTGGGGTCCTGGTGAACCAGGAGGGTGGTGGGTGCTCTGCAGCCCCTGCTGGGGTGGAAGAGGGTGCCTAGTGTAGGTGCGCATGCACTCAGTTCTGGAGCACAGCAGTTTTGAAATCCTTGGCCCTGGGGTTGAGGGCAGTTGAGGACCATGGCCAATCCTGAGCCCCAGCTCTACAGTCTAAGGCTCCCTGGTCCCCAGCAGTTTCAGGGTTCAGAACTACATGATGCAGACAGAGATGGGCCTTGGAAAGCTGGTCATCTGTGATTCCATGTGTCAGTATGACTAGGCCGAGTGCTCCCAGAGCATCCCTGCTGAGGGGGCCTGGGAGGTGTCTCCAGGAGACAGTGGTGTGTACTTGGGCAGACAGGGTAAGGAAGACAGCCGTCCCCCACGTGGCTGGCACTGTGCAACCCACTGAGAGCTGGAATAGACCAAAAGGTGGAGGAAGCATGAATCCACTCCAGCCCCTGGACATCAGCGCTCCTGGTACTCAGGCCTTCAGACTGGAACCAGAGCACCCACACTGGTCCCTGGGTTCTCAGGCCTTTGGGTTAGGACTGAGATGATATGCCTAGCGTTCTGGACTGCCAACGTTCAGCCCAGAAGTCATGGGACTCCTCAGCCTCCACATGGTGTGAGCCGACCCTTATCATAAATCTTTCTGTAACTCTGTGTGCATCCTGTCGGTTCTGTTTCTGTGGAGAACTTTACCTAAGACAAACGGGTCCCTCAGAGCTATCACACAGGACTAGGTCAGTCCTGACCTGGAGCCCAGGTTTGGGTCCCCTCCCCCCAGCCTGTCCCCGCCACTGACTGCATGGCTGTGGCCAGCCACTTAACCTCCAGGCACATGGTGCACTCATCTAGAGAAGCGTGGCAACTGTGAATCCTCAGGTCCTATGTCCACAGAATCGACCAAAAGCCACGTGGAAAATACTTGGAAAAAGTGCACTGGTACTGCAGGTACAGAGGCTTTTTCTTGTCAGACAACACAGTGTGCCAACTGTGCTGTATTAGGCATTATAGGTAAGCTTGAGATGACGTGAAGCATCCGTGACCATAGCTTAGGGGCAGCACTTGCTTAGAGTGTGCAAGGCCCTGGTTCCATCCCCAGCACCTCAAAAAAACAAAACCAGGAGGATGTGCAGGAGATACTGGAACATGCACCATTTTAAGTAAAGGACTTGGAATCCTCAGACTTCGGTATTCTCAGAGGTCGTGGGCCCAATCTGCAGTGGCAGTGAGGGAGGACAAATCTGAGGCCTGGCTCGGCCCTTCTCCCCTATTCCTACAGCACCACAGCTGCTGCCATTTGGGATATATCTGTTAGCTTTCATCTTGCTGGGACAAAATACCAGATACCCACACCTTGGGCCAATAGAAGTTTAATTAGGCTCACAGTTTTAGGGCTCTCAGTCCATGGTTGGCTGGTTCACAGCAGGACCATCATAGTGGAAGAGTGTGGTAGGGGGAAGTTGCTCATCACATGACAGCTGGGAAACGGCATGAGAAAAGTACCAGCGAGAGCTTTACCTTCCCAGGCCCAAGGCCCTCCACAGGCTGGACAGTGAAACCGCCCGGAGTGCATGAGAGGTGTGACCACAGCCCAGTTGCACAGGTGAGGAAACTGTGGGGTGAGGCTGGGAACCTTCTGGCAGTACATAGCTCCAGCTGTTTGAGGTCTGAACCCCCTGGTCCCCCGCCTCTGGCATTGCCTGGGCTGCTGTTGGATTCCCTTCTATGACCTTGGACACAACTCTCCCTGAGTCCCAATTTACTGATTTACAAAAGGAGGACTGGGCAGTGTTGTTGCTGAGGTCCTTTTCTGGCTTAGTCACTCTGCTCTGCCCTTTCCTGAAAGCCACAGGAGGCCAGGAAGAAGCCAGCTGCCACCCAGGGAGGGAGCTGCAGGCCAGGGGCCTGGGGAGATAGCATCAGAGCTAGAACTCTGTCACTGGGCTGAGAAAATGGGTGCTGGGAGAGCCCAGGGAGGAGTTGCACAGGGGGAGCTGCCAAGGGGGAGGGATGAGTGCCGAGGGCTCCCAGGGGAAGGTTGGGTGACTTCCTGCCGAGGGAGAGACAAGCAGGAGGGAGGTTTGAGCCAGCGTTAGGTATCATCTCTAAAAAATTGGGCCAACTTCGAAATAATTATATCATGCTTATAATTTTCCAGAGTTTTTGAAACACCCAAGCCCTTCGATTAGCCCACTTATTACCCATTGTTTACCCCGGAAGATAATTTAAATTGATTGACTGTTCGTACTGCAATGGTGAAGAAACACACCAGCCATCTCAGACTTCAGCTTGGTGCCGTGAGCTTTGTGGTGTTCATTAATCACATACTTGCTGGGTAAACAGGCTATCCGAAATGACATCAACTCTGCTCTGTGCTCTGCCAAATAAGTACAGTGCGCCCCCAGATGGCAGATGTCTGTCTGCCCCACCTTTTCCTCCCCAGACAGTGCTTTCATTCCATAGCAGTTGCTTGTTTCTTTGACTCAGCTTTAGTGTTGCAGGGTGATGATGAATGCCACTTCTGCACCGGAGAGCCTGGTGATGTCTTCTTGGCCTAATCTCCTCCTGGGGACGTTTTGCCAACAGTAGCACCTTTAAATCGGGAGGTGGTGGATCTCGCCTGGCACTCGGCAGCACTGCCTCCTCGGCTCCTCCCTGCCCCCAGCCTTCCTCCTCTGTCGCCTGGGGCTCTGGAGTCTTGGCTGGACCCTGGGCACCCTTTGCACTTTACTGTCCCTGGGTGTCACCAAGTGGAAGGATGGACCTGGGAGCCCAAGGGGCCACTCGCCTCAGTTTCTCCATCCGGCAAGTGAGTGAGGGTCATTCACAAATGTGCAGGCTGCAAGGTTTCAGTGACCTTCAGTGGGAAGTGGGCTGGACCTGTCCCTGGCTCTGCCATCAGCCCCAGGGTGGGATGGTTCCTTGTTTCTCTCCATGCCCTCCTGTGGGGGCTACCACATCAAAGTGCCTGACAGATAAGCACTGACTGACTGGCAATTAGGACTCGGGCATGGCCTTACAGAAGGGGGTGGGAGAGAATAGAACCCTGTTCTAAGTTAACAGGACATTGCAGGCCCTTTGAAAATATCTCTCCCACAGAAGCAGCCAATAAAGACCTACTGAGGACTGGGGATATAGCTTTCCAGAACATCCATTCTCCTGGGTACCCAGATGACAGCATAGGGATGGGCCCTTCCTTACACGCCATGCACAAAGCCCAACTCAGGTCATACACTCAACATTAGAGTTAAAGCTACAAAACTCTTAGAAGAAAATATAAAGATAGAAGAGGAAAACGTCATGACCTTGAATTAGGCACAGCTTTCTTTGACATGGCACCAAAAGCAGACAAAAAAAAGAAAAAGTAGAAAAAAATGGATTTCATTGAAATTTAAAACTTTCCTATTCAAAGGACCACGAAAGTAAAAAGACAATTCACAGAATGGGGGACATAGACTTGCAAACATCTGTCTGTTAAAGGATTTGTATTTATAGTATATAAACAACACAATCCAGTTAAGAGGCCAAGGGTCTGAATAAACATTTTCCCCGAGAAGATCCTGAAAGGGCAGCATGCTCTGGCAAAGAAGCTCTTTATTATTAGCCATCAAGGGATGCAAAACAAACCCCACCAATGGCTCCAATCAAAGGACAAAGAGGACAGTGCTAGTGAGGAGGCAAAGCCCTGCTCATGGGGAACAGAAATGACACAGCCAGGGCGCAAAAATGTCTGGCTGTTCCTCAAAGTAGTTCCAGTAATTCCACTTCTAGCTATCATCCTCAGAGAATGTATTCTTCTCTCAAAAACCTGAACACAAAAGTTGACAGCAGCATTATCATGATATTCCCAAAGTGGGGACAGCCCAAATGCCACCAACTGAGGAGTGGATGAGCCACATGTGGCTGTCTATACGGTGGAATGATAAATGAACCTTGAAAACATGATGCTAAGTGAAACAGGGCTGTCACAAAAGGCCATGGCTATTGTAGGATTGTTTATATGAAACATTCAGAACAGGCAAATCTGTTGTCAGGAAGTAGATTTGAGACTGTCTGGGGCTAGGGGGATGGAGAAATGGAGTGTGTGTGTGTGTGTGTGTGTGTGTGTGTCTGCTGATGAGTATGGGATTTCATTTGGAGTGATGAAAATGTTCTCAAATTGAATATGGTGACAGGTGCATCACTCTGTAAGTATAAAGGTTGCACACTAGGGTGAATCATATGGTATGTGGCTCCTATCTCAGAAAAGTAGTTACAGGAAATATTTTTTAAAACTTAGTTGACTGTGCACTGCTGTCTGAAAGACCCAGGTTTTTTTCCCAAGGATATCAATTTTTATTAAGATTATCAACTAGAGAAGACAAGATAATAAGTAACCAAAAAAATCTGCAGGAAAGATTTCAGCTCTCGCTTTACCTAAAGTATAATAAAATATCTATCTATTATCAATCTAATAATAGTATTTGGACCATAGGAACCATTAGATTCTATGAAACATTACTTTAAAATAAATTTTAAGAGCCAGGCATGATGGTGCACGGCTCTAATCCTGCCACACTGGGAGAATGAGGGAGGAGGACATCAAGTTCTAGCCCCATCTCAGCAACCTGGAAGCTTAGTAAGACACTGTTTCAAAAAATGAAATAAAAGAAAATATAATAAAATAAAGGGTGAGGATGTAATTCAATGCAAACGTTGTAGGTTCGATTCCCTGAGCCATAAAATTTTTTAAATACCTAGAATAACTGAAATATGGTATTACTAAAACTGTGATAATTAGGATGTTTGGCTTATGAGCACATTCTTTTTTTTCCCCCCATTAACTTTATTGGTACATTTTAGGTATAAAATACAGTTACATTCATCATCGGGATCTTGTACCATTACATGAGTCTCTTGGTTCTTATTTTTTGAAAGACCCAGTTTCTACTTAGGTCCCTGTGTCCACAGCAGGCGCCTGCTGAGGTGCTGTGATGCAAACAGCCAAGTCCTTTGGTTCCAAGGAGGCTCTTCCTCACAAGGCTGCTGCAAGGAGGGTGTGTGTTGCCGCCCTCACCTCTAAGGGAAGTGGCCTCCTCTTTTTATCTTTCATTTTCCTTTTTGCAGTACTAGGGATTAAACCAAGGGCCTTCACGCTGAGCTACATCCCCAGGCCTTTTTATTTTTTATTTTGAGACAGGGTCTCGCTAAGTAGCTAAGTCACCCAGGCTGGGCTGGAACTTGTAATCCTACTGCCTCAGCCTCCCAGAGCACTGAGATTATAGGTATGCACCACCACACCCAGCTAAGGTGGCCTGCTCTTAGAGGAGGATCCTGGAGTCCCCCTGCCCATATTCCTCTGGTCCAGGTCCAGTCACAGGCCACCTTACTACAGGGCTGGTGAAGAGAGCTCTGGCTTCACCTCAGATCCTTTCTGTCACCAGGAAGGAGGAGGTAAGGGTGGGTGGCCTCACAGGGTCAGTTGTCACTCTACAGGTGCCAGAATGACTGACAGGCTCCACATCACTGTGGCCCTGCCAGCCCTGGACTTCCTCTCTTGCCCCCTCCAGCACTTTCTCTGCTGCAGACCCAAGCCTGCCCCTGTCCCTGTGTCCCTACGGCCACAAGTCCCCACAGGAACCCACCTTGCTTCTGCCCAGGGTGCAAATGCAAGGTCCACACCTGGCTTCCTACCCCCCTCAGGGCTGCTCTGCTTCCTGGCTGAAGCACTGGATTAAACCATACCTGAACTCCACCTGGATTTTCAGCTATGCGAGCCAACAATTCCTCCTTTGTTATTTTGTTCATTTATTTGTCTAATGAAGTCTGAACGGAGCTTCTTGAACATAGAAGGAAGTCACTTCTGAGACTTACCGGTGTGTTATTCTAAGTATTGCACTGTTACCGCAGGGACACTGGAGTGGGAGAGTAGCATGAGAGGGAATTTACATCTGTCCCATGAGCCCTTGCGTTTCCACCTACACTGTCTCCTGGAGCACACAGTGCTTCACTCCAGCTGCCCAGTGATGAGTAGGTCTGAGCAGCCCCTGCGAGGGCGGTTTCCTCCTCTGAGTCCCCCTTCCCCCTACTAGTGGTTTTTGGATGTCAGTGACAATGTGGTCATTCAAGCTGAGGCTTTCTGAAGCGGAGGGGTGCCTTGTCCTCATCAGGGTAACATGCTGCATGCTGGATGTTCACCGTGCACTCATCCTATGGACCTGTGAGCCCCTGCCAGCGAGGTCAGCTTCTCTCAGCCGAGGACCCTAATTAACTAACCTGTCCAATCAGCTTTGTGATTTAAGACTCGTGCCCGGCCAATGAGCACCTTTGGAAAACACTTACACTGGAAACCCCCATATAACGCCTGTTCCAGCGGGCGTGGTGGTGCCCACCTATAATCCCAGCACTCTGGGAGGCAGAGGCAGGAAGATAAAAAAATTTGAGCCTAGTCTGGGTAATTTAGCAACTTAGCAAGACCCTGTCTCAAATTTTTTAAAGTATGTAAAAATACCTTGAGGATGTAGCTCAGCGTGAAGGCCCTGGGTTCACCAAACCCAACCCAACCGAAACCAAACCACACCAAACCAAACCACACTAAACATGTCCTAGATAGGGCACATTCTTCAGGGCCCCCTGATTTAGTGGACTGAATTGCAAATCTCCGTTTAGTAAATAAATGCTATGTCTTTTGCACCTCCTTGTCAATTTTCTATAAGTTAATAGATCTCTTCACACAAAAGACCTCACCCTGCTCAACTCCTGACTTGGGTCTTACCAGCGGCCTGAGGTGGGTGACCCCGGGGCCCCGCCATCCCTTTCCAGGACATCCTCCCCATCTCTTTCTAAGTCCCCAGGGTCAACTCCAGTGGCCTCATGACTAGGTGGTCCCCAGTACACCAGAGAAGCCACTGCACTATGCCTTAGTGTCATGTAATGTTTCCCTCAGGTGCACAGGGAGGGGGCCCAAAAGCTCACCCGGGAAGGCGCAAGGTGAGCCTGCTACTGGTCCCCAGGGGACCTTAGCCTGGTCACTGGCTGAGGACAATGGGAGCTTTGGGAAGCAGCAAGATCAGCTAATTTTAGTTCAGGGTGCTGGGATGTGTTCCCAAGTCGCATCACACGGAGCCTGATGGCCCCTTGGCTTTGTTCCCTGGACGGCGAAGGTGAATTGCGACAGACACACGGTGTAGTTCTCTGAGTGTCTCTGGAAGCAGCCACTGCAGAGTGGGGCTGGCTCCTTTTGTTTTATTTTTAACCAGTGTCGCATTCCTGGAGGTGTCCCTTGGGTAGATGACAGATGCTGCTCAGAGACCGGCTGGTCTGGGACCCATCTCCCAGAGCGGGGAGCACATGGCTGTGTGCCCAGAGCCAGGATGGTCGTGGTTTGGCTGGCCCTGACTCTGTGTCCTGCCAATTCCATCCCCTCCCTGGACCGTCTCATCTGCATCTGTAAAATGGGCAGGTTGGACCCAGTGACCACCCCGGTCCTCTTAGCTCTAAGAATTGGTGAAGATGGCCAGGTGAGGGAGGGCAGCAGAGGTTCCCTCCTTGTCACAGGTAGAGGTGACAGGCCGAGCCCTGGGGACCGGCTTATCTGCACAGGGAAAATGCTGTCCTCGGAGTGAGGTGGACAGGGAGGTGGCACGTGGCTGGCTAGGCTGGCACATTCGACCTGGATGGCTGTGCTGGGAGGAGGACCAGGGTTCATTTTGGTTTCTTACTGGATGTCTTTAGGCCAGGCTAGCACTTTTCTATCCTCCTCCTCTTCCTCTCCTTTTCAGTGCCCACTCCCTGCCAGCATTTCCTGGGGTCACCTCCCAGAGAGAGGGCTTGTGGGGGACAAGGTGCCCCCGGATGTGACATCCTGGAGGGACACAGCTCACTCATGCAGTGGCCTGGCCCAGCACATGCAGCCTCAGCCCGAGCATGGGGAGACATCAGACAGACAAGGAGGCGCGTTCTGTGCAGGGTGATGTGTATGATGTGGTCACCCTGACGTCATGTCCTCTGAGTCAAAGGAAAGCCGTAGAAATGGCCAGATTGCGGGAGGCTAAGGCAACAGGACAAGGAAAAGTCACTCTGATCCTGGATTCTGTGCTGGATGGAAGGAAAAGGCTTGTACAAGGAGATTATTAGGCTAGTGGACAAAGTGGAGCAGACAGGAGATAAAACCTCGCATCTGCTGTCAGTGTGCTGTGGCAGTTCCTCGCTGTGGCTCTGGACAGCAGTGACCTTGGGTGTGGGATCCATGCACTGTCATCCTTGAGGGTCTTCTACCTCGGAGGAAGGAGCTGGTTTACCTTTGAACTCTCTGCCCTTTTGGCAGGCAGAGGCCATAGATTCCCATGGGAATCTGATGGACTTGTCAGACACTTTGGACTGGAAAGGTTCCTGGGCCTCTGGGACCACATAAAAATTTGATTAAGTGGGTCGGGGATTTAGCTCAGTGGTTCTGCCACCTGCCTCGCAAGCAGAAGGAATTGCGTTTGATCCCTGTTAACAACAGAAAAAAACCCAACAAACTTGATTAAGCATCCTTGGGCGGATGGTGCCTGCGAGTTCTTGCAGTTAGCACATTCTACAGTTCTGAGAGTAGGGGGTGAACCACACTATATTTCCTCAGGGCAATGAAACGCTCATAGATGATCTTCTTTTGATCTACTTAAATTAACAAATGTGTTGGCATTTATTGATATTTTTGCATATTCCAAGCTTGTGACTCCTTATTACTGTGCAATGAAATATATCTTTGATAATAGTTTTAAAAATAGGTTCATGGCTGGGGATTTAGCTCAGTGGCACCATGCCTGCCTGGAAAGCTCAAGGTCCTGAGTTTGATCCCTGGTACCCCCCCGCCCCAAAAAATTAGGTTCGAGAGCAGAGGGCCATGGTGTAGGGAATTTACTTTCAAGTGGTTTAGTGGAATGCTCTATGGATACAAAATTAAAATATAGATAGGACAAAGCACAAAGCAAATGGGATGATGTGTTAAAAAAAAAAAGAGGTGTGTTCGGATGCTTTATCCCTATATAAGGTTCTTGCAACTTTTTTGTGAATTTGACATGTTTTCCAAATAAAATGATGCAAACCTGATTGGTTCTCAACACCCAGTAATAATTCAGAAGGCGATGCCCCTTATTGGCACATCAGCATGAAGAAAAGGAAGGGGGCTAATAATCCACTGCTGATGGCCCTGTGCTGGGGGTGCCAGAGCTGTGCCCGTGGGAGGCAGTAGGAACCGCTGGGGGCAGAGGGCAGGAAAAGACTGCAGCGAACTTCCATCTGCGGGTGGACTACTCCACATTCTGTCGAAGGCGCATCTTTGTGGATAGGAGAGGGCTCACGGTATGGCTCTCTCCGTACCCCTCTCCTTCTTTGCTCCTGCTCCGATTGGTGGTGTAAACCGTTCCCAGAATCCCACACGGCCCCAGCTGGGAAGGACTTTCAGCCTGTCTGAGGTCAGGTGAGTCAGGAGGTCCACGGAGGCGATGTCCATGTCCATTGTCACAGAAAGTGCCAGGGACACCGCAAGACAACCCCACTTCCTCTGTCAGGAAAGCCCAGCAGAATGGGCTTTAAGCTCAGTTTGAATATTTCCTTCCAGGGCTTGGACTTCGCCTTGGACACGCCTAAGAGCAGCAGCAGGACACCCTAGAAAGAGCACTCTGCAGGAAGAAGGCTACTTGGTTTCCGGCCTGTGGGGAGGAAGAAATTGCCAGCCACCTGCCTGTTATTCCCACCCCATCCAACCACAAGGAGGAGAGGCTGCTCAGCAAGGAGAGACTCAGGCAATTTAAACCTGTCATCTGGGATGTTACCCAGGAGGAAAATTAGAGCATTTAATTAAGCCCCACATGCAAGCAATCAATTCCAATTATCTACCTCTAATTTAGAGAGTTTCAACCAGGAGTGTTTGGGACTCTGGAATCTTTTTTTTTTTTTTGGTACCAAGGATCGAACTCCGGTCCTTACACTTGGGCGCGGCAGGTGGCGAAACCACTGAGCTAAATCGCTGGCCCCGGGACTCTGGAATCTTATAATATTGATGATGGACTTATTTTAAACTTTTTGTTTAGCCTTGGAAGGCCTTTATGGAGCTGTCTGGGTGGAAGTTGGTTCCAGCAATGGGCAGAGTGGTAATTAGGAATTATTGCAGCTTGAACAAACTCCTCAGTCCCTGCTGAGCAGCAAATGGGTGTGGGGAGGTTCCAGGGCTTTTGATGGCTGTGGAAGATTCTTCTCTGCTTCCCATGGGAAGGAGGGGTGAGCATTTTTCCTCAGGTCCTGGGGCTGTGGACAGGCACTGACTGGAGGAGAGATGGCATCTGGGAAATTTCAGATTCTTCTAAACAGCATGGGTTTGCCATGTCAGAGAGCCGTCTGCCCAGCTGGACTGCTATACCCCCCCTGACGGTGCCTGGGGGAACCTGTCAGAAAACCACACAGCCAGCCAAACCCACAGGCGACAGAGAGGGAATGAGGACTACCCAGAGTCACAGAGGGAGTGAGAAACGGGGTCCCAGTAGACACCCAAATTATCCAACTCTCAGTGAGAGTAATAGTTTGCCTAAGAGTAGTTATTTTAAAAAAATTAAGCCAGAGAGGTCACATATGCCTGTAATCTCAGCTACTTGGGGGGCGGAGGCAGGAGGATTGCAAGTTTGAGGCCAGACTGGGAGACTTAGTGAGACCTCATCTCAAAATGGAAAAAAAAAAAAAGAAAAAGAAAAGGATGGGGATGTAGCTCAGTATAAAAGCCCTGGACTTGACTCCAAGCACCCCATACACAGACAAATTAGCCCAGAACAAGACTCATATGGCTGTTGTCCAAGGTGCCCAGGACACAACCAGAGGCCCACAAGACCATGCTGGTCACTTCCCGGGGCACAGTGGCGTGCCCAGGGCGGGTCTGACAGGCTGCAGAGCTTTCCCCGTGTGACAACCATGGGCCACTCTACCAAGAGCTTACTTGGAGGACTGTCAGCTTGGGAGGCTCTGAGGTCCCCCCCGGACTCCGGTTCTACATGGATGGGGTCATGTGCCTGGGTCAGCTGGGGGATACTAGGAGGAGGCCAGGCCTGGCCTCAAGCTAGATGCCAGTGCTCCCCCGAGCCAGTGCCCCCGGCCTTGCCCAGTAGTCAGGGGAGCCTGTGTGGGGCACCGGAGGCCTTGCTAATGGCTAGCAGAAGAAGCTGGGTGTGATGGTCCGTGCCTGTAACCCCAGCACTCTGGGAGGCAGAGGCAGGAGGATCAGAAGTTGGAGCCCAGCCTGGGCAGCTTAGTGACTTGGCCAGGCCCCGTCTCAAAAAAAAAAAAAAAAAATTAAAAAGTTTGGGATGTGGTTCAATGAGAAAGCCCTGGGTTCAGTCCCCAGTGCTACAATAAAGATGAGGGAAGAATGAACTCTAAGAACTCATTACCCATGATAGAAGGCCGACTGTGCCCCGTACCACCCAGGCCAGACCCACAGGCCCCACCCACCCATGAGCACCCTGGCCACCTTCTCCATAGACTCCCAGCCAGTGTGAGCAACAGTGCAGACCGTGTCGTTTCCGGGAAGTGCCAAAGAGCTCCCGGTCAGGGCCTGACGGAGGTGCTGCAGTCAGGGACCCAGAGGAGCTGGGCCCACAGGCCTCCCCGAAACACTCGGACCCTCCCCTCCCAGTCTGGTCGCACGACCCTTTGAGTGTCACCGTCATCCTCACTGGAATCGTTCACATCACTCTGCCCTCCACGAAGCACTGAGGCCTGCCATCCTCAGCCCCAACACGGTCCTGCATCAGCCTCCTCTGTGGGCTATGAAGGGCGAGGAATCTTTCCATGGATGAACCAACACACTGAAATTCGGAACTTGCGCCCAGGGTACAGGTCCTGGTCTGTGTGGGGCAGACGCTGAGGCTGCTCGTGACTCTTCCCCGAAGCTGTGGTATGTCCCTGGTACCGAGCCACGCACAGAGAGCTGAGTCTCTGCAGGGACAGTGCAGAGCCCTAAGAGGGTTGGGGAGCTGGAGGGCATCCCGCCAAGAGTGCAGCTGCCCCTGAGAGCCTCTGTGCTGGCGAGTGGCATCCCGCACGGCCCCAGGTATGCTGTGTGTGTGGGAGGGAGGTGTAGAAGGTGGGAGGTTTGCACAAACCCGGGAAGAAGAGATGGTGGCCTCGTTAGGAAACAGCACTGGCGGTGCTGAGGACAGAGAACACGCCCCTCCCACAGAGCCAGGGAAGAGGGTTGGAGGGGAAGAATGGGATTCTGCAGGCGCCATACTGACTGTCCAGGGGACAGTCCCCTGCCGTCTCCTGGACCATGGTCACTGACTGGGGCACAGACCCTGGTTAGATCTGTCCCCAGACTCGTTCTGGCCATTCTTTGTTTGCCGCTGTTGTTTTCTCATCTGTTAGCAGCCACCTCCCAGCAGTTCCCCCAGCATCCCGAGGCAGGGAGGGCGCAGGAGCTGCCACTGCTGCAAGTCCCAGGGCAGACGCTGACAAGTGACTGAACTTTGACTGTGAAGTTCTGCAGCCACAGGGACCCCAATGTGGGACATCACAGCCTCGGCAGGGCAGGAAGAGTGAAGATGGAGGACTAAGCCTGCCCAGCTAGGTGGGCTGTGCTGAGCAGACAGGCAGGGAGGACAAGGCAAGCAGACTGGACAAGGGAACAGGGCTTCAAGGTCAGGAGGACCAGAGGTCACACAGATGACACCTTTGGGCTTACAGTGGCTGCTTTGGGAGAGCTCCAGGAATCTGTAGAGATAGCTTGTTTCTGGCAAGGATGATGGGTTGGAACCACGTGCTGCACTCATGCACACACAAGGCATCTGAGCTACAGGTAGGCGGCAGGCAGGGCAGGGCCCTCGGAGGATACCAGGTCGTCCACGTCAGCCAGGAGCTCCCGCTCACTGGTGCTGGCCGCATGGGCACTCTGCAGGTGGCAGAGGCGGGCCTGGAGCCGCTCCTGTGCCCGCTTGAGCTCCAGGTAGGAGTGAGAGAAGGTGTGGAAGATGGATGTGGCCGGGAAGGCCATGATGAGGATACCACTCAGGATGCTGCTGAGTGCCACCATCTGGCCAGGCACACTGCGGGGGACCATGTCCCCGTAGCCCACCGTCGTCATGGAGATGATGGCCCACCAATAGGAGGCAGGGATGCTGGTGAACTCCAGGACCCGCCCAGACTCGTTCTCAGCCACATAGACCAATGGGGAGAAGAGGGTGACGGCCACGGCCAGGAAGAGCAGCAGCAGGCCAAACTCCCGGGTGCAGCGCCGCACTGTGAGCCCCAGCGTCTGCAGCCCAAGCGAGTGTCGGGCCAGGCGCATCACGTAGAGGATGCGCAGTGCCCGCAGCACACGCAGCACCAGCCCCACCTTCTCCAGGTAGGAGCTGCCGTTCGGCCTCTCCCCATCTTCTGGGGGCTCCTCAGACACCACCAGCGACACATAGTAAGGGGAGATGGCCAGGATGTCGATGATGTTGAGGGGCCCTTGGAAGAAGCGGCACTTGTTCCGAGCCTGGACGAACCGCAGACAGAACTCCAGGGAGAACCAGGCCACACAGATGGTCTCCACAATGAAGATGTAGTAGCATTTTTGAGAGCATTCACCCTGCGAAGGAGAGCAACAGAAGGCAGGTGGGGTTGGCAGCGCTGGCGAGGGGAGACGCCTTCGGGGGAGAAGCCTTCACAGACAGGTGTGGGCCTCGGCTCTGTGCATAGACTAATTCTCCACCCAACCTCCTTTTGCATGGTTTTCAGGTAGTGCCTGGTACGTGGCAGGTCAGCTGGGTCGGAGACTACCCTTTCCAGCCAAGTGTGGCCAGATGACCAAGTTGTCACCTACCTAGAACCACCTCTGGGTTGGGAGTGTCAGACACTGGCGTGAGTTCCTGCACCCCCAGCCCCTTCTGCAGCCAGCACAGCCCAGATGGGGCTGCAACCAACCCCAGCAGGCAGACCAGACCAGCACCCCAGGGAGATGGAACATCTGGGTGGAAAATCTGGGTCTCACAGGGACAGCTGCCCGCTTGCCTGAGTTTGTCCCCCGGGGAGTGTTTCACAAGACAGAAATCAGCAGCCCCTGCTTTGGAAGCTGAGCTATCCTGCATCTCCTTGTTACAGGGAAACCTCTGCCATCACGGATACAGGCATCTCTGGGTACCGCCATTGCTCTGCTACTGTCCCTTTAGCCACATGACAATGCTGTGAGCAGGTGGCATGGCGTCATTATGGACCTTGAGAGCTTGTGTGGAGGTTCTAGCCTGGGAGCACAGCTGCTCGTATACCCTTGACTGAGGAAATGGTCCTCCTCTATTGGGGTGGCCGTCCTCTTCCACTGAGTGTGCAGCTTCAGGAGGGAAGCACATGGAGTGGAGAGAGAGGAAGGGAACACCCGGGTGGCCAGCCAGATGAGCTGAATCAACCCTGGCGATCAATGGGGTGACAGATGTCACAGCCAGAGTGCCTTCACGTCCAGCATGGCCTCATTATAGGCCCAGAAAATGGTCACAGCAGCTCAGTGACTTGCCTGAGCTCACATAGCTAGTAGGTGGTAGCATCCAGCCCGATTCAGGTCTCTTAGCCCCTATAGGCTGTTTGGTGACTTCTCCGCGTGCCACCCCTAATCCCTCTGGGGCCCATCCTGTTGCAGATACTGTCCCAGCTCTGGGGTCTCAGTCAGTGCAGAAGCAGCATGGCTCTGGGGGCTAGGAGCCTGGGCTGGGCAGCTGTCTTGCCCTGTGACTCGAGGCTGTGACCCTCCGCCCCGGGACCTGGCCTGCTTCCAGCTAGGTGCGGCTGATCTGTGGTCACTGTTGTGTGGCTTGGCTCCCTGGCCCTGGCTCTTCACAGAGCCCCCAGCCCCTGGCTCCTCAGAGTGTGGGCCTAGAGCCCAAAACACCTGTCTCCCAGGAGCTTGTTAGGAACACCCAGCCTCATCACCTGCATTTTAGCAAGATTCCCTGGTGCACGTTAAAGTTAGGTTTGTTTTTTGTCTTTTGGTACCAGGAATCAAACTCGGAACCTTGCACTTGCGAGGCAGGCAGTGGAACCACTGAGCTAAATCCCCAGCCCCTAAAGTTGGGTTTTTTGCTGTGAATTTTTTGGTTTGTTTGTTTGGGTTCTGGGTTTCTTTCTTTTTTTTTCTTTCTTCCTTTCTTTCTTTCCTCCTTTCTTCCTCTTTTTCTTTCTCTCTCTCTCTCTCTCTCTTTCTTTCTTTCGAGACAGGGTCTTGCTATGTAGTTCAGAATGGCCTTGAACTTACCATGTAGCCCAGGCTGGCCTCGGACTCAGTGATTCTCCTGCCTCAGCCTCCCGAGCGCTGGGATTATAAAGGTGCGCTACCATGCTCAGCACATTCAGGTTTGAGAAACTGCTCCAGTGCCTTGTTCTCAGCTTCAGATGTACATTAACATCATGTGGGGGCTTGGAGAATTCCTGATGCCCAGCATACCCCCACTTTAATTTAATTGATCTAGGTTTTCGCTTGAGCAGCAGAATTTTCCAGAACCCCTGCTGATGATTCTATGGGGAGCCAGGGTTGAGAATCTGGTAATAAATATCATATATGCATATGGATGCACAGACACACACACACACACACATGCGCACATGCACGCACACACGTGCACACTCACTTGATGGATGAGTGAAGGAATGACCAAAGCCAGCTGCCTATGTGAAAAGCAAGATGTTGGCAACTGTAATTTTTTTGCATTAAAATGCTTTAAAGTGGAAAAGGAAATTACTTCCAGTGCCCAGGCTCAGAGGAACCCTAAATCGAAATGTTCTCTAAGTCTGGCTGCTACGGAAAAGGAAAGGACCTGGCCCATGCCGACCCCCGTTGGCCTGTCCCTTGCTCTGCATGTCTTTCCCTTCCCTGGAGCCGGAGCTGTTGAGAAATGGAGCCCTAAGTGCTTATGGGCCAGGTTCAAATCCTACCTCTTTTGTCCCCCAATACTAGAGGTTGAACCCAGGACCTTCACATTGGCTACACCTCAACCCCTTTTTGAAACAGGGCCCCACTTAGTTGCTAAATTGCCTAGGTTGGGCTCCGATTTGTGATCTTGCCTCAGCCCCCGAAAGTGCTGGGATTACAACTCTGCACCACCATGTCTGGCTTCTAATTCCAACTCTTGCTTGGTCTCCGCCCAGAAAGGCTGCTGTGATGAGTGCAAATGATGCTGCCGACAACTATTAGCACGCTGCCCACTTGGATACCCTGGCCTCAGACAGTCTACCCGCTCAGTATGAGGATGCCATACCTCCTCCTCTTGCTGGATTTTACAGGACGCCGAGCACATTTTCTGACCCACCGACGGGGCTTTGCCCCACCTGGCTGAGGTTTGCTCCAGGATCCTGGAGGGCTCAGGAGTTTTGGATCCTCTTTTCTTAGTCCTGCTCCAAACTTGCTATGTGACCTCAAAGTGATCCCTACGCCTCCCCCGCTCTGTGCTTCGGTTTCCAATGAAGAGGCTGAAACACAATCTGGATTTCTCATAGCTGGTTCAGAAACCCTGCCATGAGAATCCCCAAGGGTGCTGGTTACAAATGCAGATTCTTAGGGCCCCCCCATCGCTAAACGAAACCCTGGAGCCGAGTCCAGGACTGCGCACTTTGGCAACTCCCTGTGGACTCTGAGCAGCTGGAAGTGCTAGACTGGGCTGGATCCTCCAAACCAGGCCTCCTCCTTCGCTGACATCTGGAAATTTCCCCCTTGGCAGCCTGGGAAGAGCAGGGGGGCGACTCCCAGCCCAGAGAGACCTGGCCGTCCCAGGCTGCCTGCAATGCTGTCACTTGGCTATTCAAGCCATGCACACCTCTCCGTCCTCTGGGCCTGGCCAGCTCCTCCCACACTGCAGCAAGCGGCTGTGCCAAGTCACTGTGCCGCACCTGGCTCTGCTCTGCATCCCTAACCAGCCCGGCACAGGCACCAGTCAGAAAGGTCAGAGCCTCTGCAGCCAGACTGGGACGGAGGCATTTCTGGCTCCAGCTGGAGAATAATCCCCAGCCCAGCAGATATTTGTAGGAGAAAAGAGAGGAGAAGAAAGGAAAGAGAAGTTTTCTCTTTGTCTCTCTGAGAAAGTTTCTTTCCAGTTGTATTTTGTAGGGAGGGAAGTGACTCGCCCTGATTTGCTCCATCTTCCTGGGTTTGCACACAGAAACTTCAGGTCCTGGGACCCCTCTCTGTCTGAGGCGAATGGGGATGGTTGGTGTCCTTGCTTGTGGGCCTGTCCCCACTTACAGGATGCTCGGAATGGCTGTCAGGATGGCACTGCCGCCAGGCACAGTGGATTGATGGGGAAAGACCCCCAGGGCATGTTCTGGGGTGAGGCCCCAGGGCTGGCACTGTAGAGATGCTTCCTGATCTAACCGCTCTTCCTCCTTCCTCCTCCTCCTCCTCCTCCTCCTCCTCCTCCTTCCTCTTCTGCTGCTGCTGCCGCCCTGGGCCCAACACCGTGGGCAGTGGGGTGGCTGGTGCTCCACTAAATACAAGGACACTGAGTTGCTGAGCTCTGGCAAGTCAGGAACCTTGGGGGCCTCGGTCTCCCCACTTTAGAATAGAACTGTCATGATGATTAAATCAGGAAATCAAAGGAAATAACTGCACAGGGCTGGGTACACAGCACGGGTCTAATAAGCACAGTCGGGTCCTCGTGTCCACCGGTTTTACAACCAACCTTGGATTGGAAATATTCAGAAGGAAAGTTTTATCTGTACTGAACACATACTGATTTTCTTTCTGTAAAAAATCTAGTCCTTATACAACACAGCAGAACAACTATTTACACGGCACTTGCAGTGTGTTAGATGTTACAAGTCATCTAAACATGACTGAACGTTGGTACACGGCACCCTTCATAGAAGGGACAGGAGCATCCTTGGATTTTGGTACCCAGGTGGGTGAGGAGTGCCCTAAACTTAGTCCTGTATATACAACTCTATTAGTTCCAAATCTCACTGTCCCCAGCTGCAAAGCTGGGGTCCTGAATGGTCACTAAAGGAGAAGACTTTCAGGCCATGGTCACTAAAGGAGAAGACTTTCAGGCCCCCAATCCTGGCAGGCAGAGGCCACCCAGGAGGACTTTCTCATGGGGTTGGGCCACCAGTTGTGCCCCAGCTATAGGCTCCAGATGGGGGCCAGGAGTGGAACCCACAGAGCTGAGCACGTGTGATGAGGGGCAGGGAACAGTGTGAAGTAGAGTCGGGAAAGGTGGCCCCCGCCCAGAAAGTGGGGAATGCATCTTTTTGGGCAGGATAGAGGGAGATTTGATGAGGAAAAAGCCCAAGTAAAGCAGAAATCTGTGAAGAATTGCTAGCACAATTGCCAAATGCCACTGAACATAGAATAGCTGTAGAGAGCAGGGGCCTCCTTGGGAAGCTGACTCAGGATCCTGGAGAGGGACAGAGGAGGGAAGATTCGGGCTGCATGTGAGAGTTTTCTAGAAAGAGGAGGCAGCAGTGGGCAGGTGGAAACTTCAGTGGGGAGGTGGCCAAATTAGAATGGCACAAGAGGGCAAGGCTCTGGGACCCAGGAGTCCCACCTGGCCTTTAGAACTCTCCCTGTAGCTGGGGTGGTGCTGCACACCTGTAATCGAGCAGTCGGGAGGATGAAGCAGGAGGACTGAGAGTTTGGCCCGGGCTACACAGGAAAATCTCGTCTCAAAAATGCAAAACAATATAACAAAAACACCCTGTGTCTTCCTTCCTCAGCCCAATCTTAGTGAGGAGCCGGAATCTCCCAGCACAGGCTGTGGGGGAAGTGTGACCCGAGAACCATGAGGTCTTCCACACCCCAGGCCTGGTTCTGCCAGGCCCTTTAGAGGGAGCCCAAGAAAACCCAGAGCTCCAGGCTCCACTGCCTCTCGGGTGCTCGGGCACTTGGCAGGAGGCTCTTTCTTCCTCCATTTAAATTTGTGATCTGGGGCCAAGACCTTTAACCCTCCCAACAGCCAGGTACGCTGCTGGAGAAGCTAGGAGAGATGGACGGGAACCTGCATCCTTAGGGGTTCTCTCTCTCCAACAAGTATCACTCCCCTCCATCTCAGGAGGAGCTCTGTGGGTCATCATGTCCCCAGGGTGTGACATTAACTTCTGGGGTGGCCCCAGAAGCAGCTGGCCAGCAAAGCAGCTGGCTCATAAAATAGGGCTGTTCTAGCCTGATGTCTCGGAGGGCAAATATGAAATACAAGGCACGCGTTGGAGAAGGAACAGCAGCTTTTTATGCAAATGTGACCCTCAGACTTGAAAGAACAAAAATCCCCGGCCTCCCTGCATCTCTGAATTATTGTCCCAGCAGCAAAGACAGACCCTCTTGGCCTGCACATCTGAGCAGCATGTGCAAAGGTGGTTTCATTGCAGGGACACAGAAAGACACTGCAGCTGGATATGAGCATCAACCTCTCCTATCCCCAAGGACAGGGCTGCCTGATTGCTCCACTCTGGCTTTGGGCTGTGACCACCTCTAATTTGATTTCCCAGGTCATGTTAAGCCATGCTGGGTCTGTAGCCTCAGTTATTTTTCAAACCATTAGGCTTCTGCACAGTTCAGATTGGGGCTCCCTCACTGTTTCTCCTTTCCCTGTGGAGCCCTAGGAGGAAGAGGCTTGTGACCACCCAGGCTCTGGCCACAGCTGAGGAACAGGGTAAGGAGATGGCTTATTCTGTCCTAATCTTTTGACTACAGAGTCCAAATGTAAACACGTCCGTGAGCAAGCGGCCTTCTAAATCCCACACTTTTGTGCAAAAGAATGAAAACATGCTTCCAATCAGAGCTCTCGTGGGGGTGGGGGTTGCTGTTTGAAAGTCTAAGTATTTTTGTTGTCTTTTTTAGGACAAATCTTTATGGGTTGGATAAACACGTTTTATTCAACAGATATTTATTGGTAGCCTACTGTATGAGTAGCACAAGCAGGTTTTCCATCTGGAAAGTCCTCTGACCCCACTGTCTTGCCCTGGGACATGTCTGCAAGGGAAGGGGACTCAGATACACTCACGCCTGTTAGGTGCATCTGTGTATGTCTTCATCGGCTCTCTTCATCTCCTGTAAGGTCAGTGCCCTGAGCTGGGACAATGGGAGCCATAGGGGAGTATAGAACAGAAGAGGAGCAACGGTTCCTATGAGAAACAATCCAGTTTTAGTCTGAGGTTCTCCAAGTAGTTCTCCTCCTAGAGAACTACTAGGTTCCTACTTCACTTCTCAGACCATCTGGTCCCCTGGCGACCTTGGCATCTCCTCCAGCTCCCTAGAGAGGAGTGGGTAAGTGAAATGTCTGCTCTGGCCTCCTGGGGGAGGGCCACTTACACATCACCTTCCCTCTGAGTCCCATCCACTGAGACTCACCGAGGGATCTGCGACTGAGACATGGACAGGAAGACTAGGCTGAGAGAGTCTCTGCCATCATCTTTAGGGTACAAAAGCAAATGTGTCCCATGCCTCAGTGTCCTCATCTGAAAACGGAGCTCTGGCCCCCATGGGAACACTGTGCTAGTGACTGGCATAAAGTAGCTGCTCAGTTAACATACACCACCCCACTGTGAACCTTCGAGGTGACAATGTCCGTTTTACCAAGGAGGAAACTGAGGCTCAGAGAGGTGAAGTGATTTGCCCCCGCCACAGAGCCTGGTGAGGCGAGGCTGGGACCAGGTGTGACTTTGTCAACATCCAGGGCCCCTTACCAGAGCCAGGGACGTAATGACTTTGGAGGGCCCAGGCACTTTGGCCTTTGTGAGCCCCCTCCTTGAAAAGAAGAAAGGAAAAAGTATCTTTTATGACGGTGCTGGTCTAAACATGAACATAGGGCACATGGAATGCTATGCAGTGTTTCCTTCTTGCTTTTAAGAAATAAAGACCTTTGCATGGAGCCCTTGAGGGACCGAGGTGCGCTCCCCGTGCCACCTGGAGACCACTCACCTTGTCCTCCTCGGCCCGGAGGTCAGGCATGGTGCTCACGCACAGGCTGACAGCCGTGGTGGCCACGAAGAGGATGGACAGGCAGGCGAAGACCTTCCCGGGCAAACCCGACTGCGGGTCGTCCACCATCTGGCGCAGCCGGTTCATGCAGCGGCCCCAGCGCGAGGGGCGCACGGCGGGCCCCGGGCCCTCGCGCCGCAGCTGCAACGCCTCCTCGCGGCGCAGCTCGGCCGCCTCCTCCCGCTTCCTCAGCAGCCTGCGCAGGCAGCAGCGCTCCAGCTGCGCCTCCTCGATGCCCCAGTAGGCCAGCTCCTCGCGGAAAGACAGCGCGCACATCTCCTGCAGCAGCACCAGCTTCCCGGCCGCCAGGAAGCTCGCGATCACGCCGAAGGCGCTGGGGCTGCGGTCGAAGAAGAATTCCTGGCGGTCGGCGTCGTAGTCGTCGCAGAGCTGTGCGATCTCCTCGTGGCTGCGGCACAGGCGGAGCCTGCTCAGGCGGCTCAGCGGGAAGGCGTCCAGCGTGGTCCAGGGCAGCAGGTACCTCTGGCCCCCCACATTCACCAGGATCTCCTTCTTCAGGTCGGTGGCCGGGGAGGCGTCTGGCGCACCCACCCTCCGTGCCCTGCGGTAGTAAAGGCCCTTGACCACCCGCGGCTCCAGGGGGCTGTGCAGGAACTGGCTCAGGGGGCTGCAGGAGCCATAGGGATGGTGCCCGGGCTTCGGGTTCCGGTATCTGGAAGGTGTGGGCATCCTGGAGGCATCCAGACCGGCAGCTGGGGGTTCACCTGTCTGACATGAGGGCAAAGCAAGAAGACGAGGAGTAGTCAGTCTCTGGTGGAGTTGTGGGCATCCTGGACATTTTCACACATTTGCTTTCCTGCAATGCCGCATGCATCATGCATTCTCTGACACTTCACTGGACACATTTATTCGGCAGCTACTACGTGCCTGAAGCGTATCAGTAAACAACCCTGGCCCAGAGGAACGGAGCTTATAGACAGAATCTGCCTGGAATGGGTGTTAGCACAGCCGCACGGCCTTCAGGCTGCATGGTCTTGGACCTGTGGCTTCACCTCTCTGATCTGAACCTCGTTCATTCCAAGGACAAGACTCACACCCTTCTGCCAGGGACAGCGAGTGAAGAGGCTCTCAATTCCCTGGGAGGCCCAGCCCCAGCCTGCCGGGCCCTCTGCTTGCTCTGGGTGCCTGGGGTGGTGTGTTGGCCACATCAGGAGCCACATCTAGGGAGCAGGGAAGGTCACAGGCGGGGCCACTTCCAGGCACTTCTGATGTGCCCGGCGTCCCCAAGGTGTAGACAGGAGCACTGCCACCTCACAGCCAGCTGACACCTGCCATCCTGGAGGGAGCAGTGAGGGCCGCTGAAGGTCCAAGGTGGTAGGCTGTGCCAGCTACACCCAGCGCCTCACCCAGGAGGCCTCTGCAAGGCACTACCCCTCTTGATTGCTTTCTCCCTCCGGAACCTTGCTGGGGATGGAGGTGACAGTCCCTCTCCACACTCAGTGCATGCTGGCCTCAGCTACCTTTGCTGTGTGACCTTGAGTTAGTTGCTCCCCCTCTCTGGGTATTGGTCTTGTATCTACAAAATGAAAGCGTTTCCAGTGCTCTCTCTATGTCAGGCCTATTTGGAGCACTTGCCTGCGGATTTAGCCCATTCAACATATTCTTTTTTTTCTTTGTACCCGGGATCCAACTTGGGACCTTGAACTTGTGAGGCAGGTGGTGGCACCACTAAGCAAATCCCCAGGCCATTCACATATTCTTAAAGATCGTCTCCACTGTTTCTCCCCCTCAGCATTCTGCCATCATTTCTTACACTATTCATTTCAGCCAGGGCTGTCTCCAGAGCTGCTATACCCTTACATTTCCAGATGCACTCCGATCAGGAGGGAACCTCGGCGGCTGAATGCAAATAAAAGTTCCTCTCAATTTCAGAGCCAGCTGGATTCCAGCAGACAGTGGAAAGTGAATCACAGCTGAAGTTTTTCACCTGCTCCCCACACAGGGCTCTCGTATGCTGCATGTGTTATGTGCTCACAGCGAACAGCCAGAGGAGTGCAGTCTGCTGAGAGAAGAGGGTCTGGAAATCCAGGGAGCTTTCCTGAGCTTTCTTACTTTCCAAGTACAGAAGCCAAGACCCAGAGAGCCGACGTGACTTGTCCAAGGTTACACAGCAGATCCAAATCCAGCCCAGGACTCAGTTTCCCGGCATGGGGCTCTTTCCAGAAACTGAACATTGCCCCCCCTTGAAATCATGGAGCAAACCCAGTTTTGCACACCCACCCCAGCAGCTGGCAGGCAAGCTGCTTTAGAGCCTGGGAAAGATGCTCACTCCCCACAGGGCTTTTGCCAGATGCCTTAAGGCATCGCTCAATGCTGTGCGCCTCCCCCCCAACAGACACCCACTTCCTCCCCTGAAGCTGAACTCACCCTCTTGTCTCTGGGAGGCTGTTTCCAGCTGCTTCTTAGTTGAGCAAGAGGACCCCATGTCTCAGTGCCCAAGGAAGGGACAGGTCTGTGGTGCAGGTGAAGGGGAAGGAAAAGTGCAGCAGTTTCTGGCAGAGTTAGTTTCCAGTCTCCTCCCTCGCCTCCTCCAGAAAGCAGAAGTTCATTCATTCCGCATCTCTCTCAGGCAGCTGCAGAGGAGTCCTGGGGGAGTGGGGTGAGTTTGGGGGATGACCCCGAAGCCCCTGTGCTCCTGAGAGATGAGGGTCTGGAGGTCCGTGCTAGATGGAGCTGGGCCAGCTGTCCTGCCTCAGCATCGGACTTCGAGCTCCAAGTCCCACGGGGACAGCCAGCCAGCATGGTCCCGCAAGGGGGGATGGGAAGGGCTTAGGAATAATCTCTCCATCAGCCAGGCAGCAGGCAGGAGCAGCCGCTGCTCTGCCAACGCTGCTCGCCCGGGCAGGCAAGGAGAGCTGTCCTCCCTCCCTGCCCAGAGGAGCGCGGCCCGGGAGGGGCAGGGGTGGCTGGGCCAGACATCTGCAGCTCCCCGTGCACTGGTGGCTCCTCGGTACTGATGATGGGGCCAGGGGTGCTGGAGGAAGTTGGGTGCCTAGGACAGCTGGGGACACCTCAGCCTTGGAGCCTATGGACGACTGGGGAGACTGCACTGGGAAAGGGGGATAGGAGGAAGTGTGAACTGGGGACTCCCACGCACCAGGCCCCGGCTCTGATTCGGAAGGCTGGGTGACCTCAGGCAGGGAGGTAGTGCCTCCGAGCCTCAGTTTTGCAGTCTACAGGAAATACAGGAACAAGAGGGGTTTCAGGAGCATCAAATCCATACCACCAGAACCAGGTCCTACTGTGGGGTTGGCCCTGGGGGAGAAGTGAAGAGGAGATGCACACAGCCTGGGCCGGGCCAGCTCCACTCTGCACTGCCTTGCTGTGTGCCCTGGTGAGTCACTTCACCTCTCTGGTCAAATGAGGACAGTTGAATCAGTGAAAGCCAAAAGTGCAAAGCCGTGTCTAATGCAGTGGTTCTTCTTCATTTCCTTAAAAGGTTCTGGCCTCTGAAGGGAGGTGAACTTCACAACTCAGTTTAGAGTCAAGGCCCCGAGAGGCTTTCTCAAGGTCACTTTGCTGGCTAGAACCTGAGGGGGCCGGAGCCCACACAAAACAGAGACTTGGGGTCCACCTTGGAGCAAGGGACACCAGAGCCTGGGGCTTCCCAGCTCCCTGCAGCCCGGTGACAGGGACGAAGGCATCAGGCAGGCAGGCAGGCGGGCAGTGGGTGGTCCTGTGTGGCTTTTAGACCATGTCACTTGAGCCTCAGTGTCCTGCAGAAGTGGTTGAAGGCCTGGCATGGGCGGTGGTGGCTGAGAGGAGAAGAGGAGACGCCCTGAGCTGGTGTCCCCTCGAGCCCATCAGACTCCCTTCAGTGCATGAGTTCAAATCCAGAATGCACCTCCTCCCCGCTGTGTGCCCTGGAGCAAGTGTCTTCGCTTCTCTGGCCTCCCTTTTCCCGTTTGTGACTTGAAGGTTATGGTGCCTCCATTGCGCTGATGAGTGCCGAGCAGACCAGTGCCTGCCCTGGTTCTGAGTGTCAGCTGAGCAACCTTTCCCGAGTCACAGGGGAGACTACGGTGAAGACAGGAGGACATCTGCTGCTGAGAAGACTTATTTACTTTGAAATGTTTGGCTTTGGAGATGAGGTCTGGCTATAGAGTTCAGGTAGGCCTTGAACTCACTACGTAGCCTGGGCTGACCTGGAGCTCACGGTGATCCTCCTGCCTCAGACCCTGAGTGCTGGGATCATAGGCATGTGCCACCACATCTGGCGAGGAAACTTTATGAAAAGGAAAAGCTGACCTACTGATCTAGCACAAGCCCTTCACTGGACCTAGAAAGGAGCTGAGATCTCAAGGGGAAAGACCATGTGACCTTCACAGTGGCCGTGGTGGGCCCGGATACAGTGAGGACTCACAGCCCAGAGCTCCTCCTACAGCTCTGGGTGCCTGTTAGCACAGGCGCTGCGCCCAGACTCCAGGGGCCCTGACACTGAACCTGCGCCCAGCGGGCCCGCCCCTCTCCAGGCATTCTCGGAGTCCTTGTGCTGGCCTGTGCACGTCTTCCTGCTCCCAGTGACCCACCCTATGGAGACACTTGGGCTCACCCCATCCCCTTCCACTGGGATGCTGGACACATGATCAGGCCCCTCCTCTATGTCTTCTGAAGAACAAGGGGCGGGCCATGGTGGCATGACTACTGTCCTGCACCACTGTAACAACACAACTGCACTAGCACATGGCTCTGGAGTTCAGAAGCTGGCAAGGGGTCTTTTGAGTTTAACCCCAAGGTGTGGGCAGAGCTGCGTTTCCTCCCCCACCCCCGTCTCTTCCTGTGCATAAAGACCGCCTGCATCCCTTTGCTTCTGGCCTCTTCCTCCCTCTTCAAAGCCAGCAGTCTACCTACCTCTATTTCTTGCCTCACTTTTCTCCTCTAATTGGGACTCATCTTCCCCTCTTTCTCTTATAAGGGCTTTTGTGATTGCATCAATTCACAGCATAAAGCAGAATTGTCTCAGATTTTAAGGTCTTTAAATAAATCACCTTTGCAAAGTCCCTTTTGCCATGTGTGGTAACATTTACAGGCTGCACTGGATATCTTTAGGAAGAGCATTATTCTGCCTATCACAGATTTTTATATCAAGTGTCCCGGCTCCTCCTGGCCCCAGCCAATCAGCTAGGGTCATGATATCCTTCGTCCAATCAGACAAAGGAATGACATCTAATCCAAGGGGGAATGGCACCCATAGGTTGGGTGAACCAATCACATTTGCCTCTCTTTCCAGGGAGTTTGGACCAAAAGACTGGGCCTTTGGAGGTAGGTGTCGGATGCTGGCCCTATAAGATCAGGCAGAGGTGAGGTGGTGCTGCAGCAGCAGAGGAATCCACAAGGAGGAAGGGGAGGGGGCGTGTCCCATTGGAGGAGCAAAAATGGGGACTTGAGAGGGAGGGAGGAGCTCCCTGCATCCCGCTCTCCAGATCCAGTTGGTGGCCATGGAGCCTCAGCTGTCTGGGTTCTCAGTGCTAAGTCCCTGCTCCCTCAAGACATCTCCTCCGTTTTTGGCAGAGCCTGCTTCAGATGGCTCCTGTCCCTGGTCCCAAAGACCCGCGAGTGGGGGCGTGACTGCAGGGCAGAGGGCTTGGACAGGGACTGCCTGTGTCCTCTCCAGCCCTGCCACTCAGACGTCACCTCAGGACCTTGCTGAGCCGTGTCGACTGTGAGGCAGTACTGACGATTATCCCTGCTCATGTTAGAGGCGTTCACTTTTGTAGAGCCTGCTGTGGGAACATCAGCCTGCTGTGCACTTGGTCTGCCTTCATCGGCACCATCACCATCCTCACTATCTGAGGAGGCGGAAGTGAGTCCAGACGCGGGTTGAGGTACTGTCTCCATCCTGTTCAGGTGTCACCAAAGCCTTGCTTGATTTATTTATTCATTTATGGTACTGGGGATTGAACCCAGAAGTGCTTGCCACTGAGCTATACTCCCGGCCCTTTTAATTTTTTTTTTTTTTTCTTTTAAGACAGGGCCTAGGCTGACATCAAACTTGCAGTCTTCCTGGATCAGCCTCCCAAGTGGCTGTGATGGCAGGAGTGTGACACTGTGCCCAGCAGGCCTTGCCCTTTCTGGAAGTGTTCTACAGAAGAGGAGTTATCTTCCTCCCACAAAACAAGCAAGCAAAGGAGGAGGCTGTGGCAGGTAGAACAGTGTTATCCCAAAGACGTTTACATCCTAATCCCCGGAAGCTGTGAATGTGTTACCTTACGGGGCAAAGGGCATTGAGGTTGCAGGTGGAATCAGGGTTGCTGGTCAGTCCCTTGAGTAGGTCCTTCGGTGTGGGAGAGAGAGGCCCAGTGATTCGGTTGGAGGCCTCAGCCGGGCACTGCTGGCTTTAAGGAAGGAGGAACATCGTGGCCCCGGAAACAGGAATAGGCAATGAACGGATTCTCCTCTGCAGAATCCAGAAAGGACCACAGCCTGGCCCACGCCTTGACCGCAGCACCATGAGGCCCGTTTCAGATTTCTGGGCCCCAGCACTCTTAGAAAATGTGTGTGTTGTTTGGTGCCACTAAGGTGGTGACCTCTGTCACAGCAGCCTTAGCAAAGTAATAAAGTAATAAAGTCGCCATGGGGGAGGGCCACGAGGGTCCCCAGCCACCCACTGGGGACGTTGGTGCTGGGGCTTCCCCAGTCCCCTGTCTATCTTGCTCATCTCCAGAGGCTGGGACCCCTCCTTAATGTGAAAGACACCTGCTGAGTCTGCTTCGCTGTGTCCGCGCTGCTCACTGGCTGCGACCTCTCTGGGCACCAGGGTGGTGACTGTCCTCCCCCCCCCCGGTGCCGTTTGGAGGAGTCAATGAGCGAGTTTTCGTGGAACACTTGCCCTTGGTGAATGCTTGCAAATGTTGGCCACTCTCGTGCTCACCGCCTTCACTGTCCCTTGTTCTTTTTTTTTTTTTGGAACCGGAGATCAAACTTAGGTCCTTGCGCTTGTGCAGCAGGCGGCGAAACCACTGAGCTACATCCCCAGCCAGTCCCTTGTTCTTATAGGAACCCCGAGTCTCCGACAGCAGGAGCAGATCCAGTGTCGAAGTGACCCCAGGCCACCAAAAAGGGTCAGGGTAAACAGTGATGAGCTATTTCTGGAGGGAAAAGTTCCTGATCTGTGATGGTTGCCAGTGCCAGTGGTGTAAACCCCTCTCTCTGACCAGTTTCAGGCTAACAGCAGAAAGCCATTGAATGCAGAATTGGGAAGAAGTGACAAGGACAGGCTCCTGCTCCTGTGCCGGTCGGCTGCAGCACGTCACTGCACATGTAGCTTCCAGAGGGGTCATGGAGGGGTCCCAACGGGGGGACCCTTGGTTATGCCTTGATGGGCTCACAAAGTGGGGCAGGTGCTGGCAGAGGGGCAGCTGGGCTGAAGGAGTGAACCTGGGAAAGCGAAGTGGATTTGGCCTCGCCAGAGAATTGCTATGGAGGAGCAGGTGCCTCGGGGAGGAGCAGAGGCAGGTGGGAGTCAGGAAATGATGGGCCTTCCATGGCCTGCCACAGAGTGTGGGTTTATACTGTGGCTGCCAGGCATGGGGAGCTACTGGTGAATTCAAAGCCATGGTTTCCACCTTGGAGCATTCAAGCATCATCTCGGAGGTTTTAAGAAATCTGCAACGACCGGGCCACACTCAGATCAACTCAGAATCTTGGCCTGGGGGTCCCACTTACAGGATTGCCGTGACCCCAGCTGGTCCTGTTGTGCAGCCAGGTCTGGGAATGATCGGCTGTGCCCACTCTGCAGCTCCGTCAGCTGCCTCACGTGTCGCTGGAGAGTGGACACTGGTCTCTCCTTTAGGGGCCAACACTGATCCACTGAGGAAATGCAGAGCCCTCAGACTCATAACCACGGGTCAGGAAGATGTTTTACAGAAATACTTGGGGATGTGTGCCAAAGTGTGCACAGAGATGATCAGTACAGTGTAGGTGGTGGTAGTAGTGGACTGGGAGTGACTGAACGATATCCCCTGAGGGGCTAGTGAAGTAAAGATGGTCACAGAAGCAAGAGAAAATTGTAGCTACTGGAAGGAACCAGGGAAGTCTGTTTGTGCTGCCGTGGAAGAACCAGGTAGCCCACAGTGTGGGGGAGATCATGCCGTAAGCCTTAGGTTATGTCAACACAGGCAAGAAGGGTGTGTGTGTGTGTGTGTGTGTGTGTGTGTGTCTGTCTGTCTGTCTGTCTGTCTGTGTGTGTGTTCTGCTTCTGAAAAAAAGGTAAGAAATTAGAAGCTGTAGTTGCACTGGGAGGGAAGCTAAGGGGGTTGGGGAAAGGGTGAGGATGATCTCATTTTCTCTGTGTATTATGATATTGGAATTAATTAAAAGGCAGCCTGGAAGAAAGAGGGTGTTCATCAAGCCAGGCTGGGGGAGACAGAAGTGTGAATAAGGCTGGTCTGCAGGGCTGGCAGGGAGTTGACAGGAGGAACAGGGTGACATGTGCAGGACAGATGGTGGCTGGTGGCCTCCGACTTGCCTTCAGTGACTTTAGCCTCCGTCACCTGATATCAGGGAAATGTGACTCCTGGTCAAGGCTACAGACCCCACTGAAGTGATACGAACACAGTGTTCAGGTCACGGGGGTCAGGTAGACAGACCCATTGGGGAAACTGAGGCAACTTATTGTCATTATGGACATGAAGTAAAAGTACGCACCAATCATTTACCACTAGAGTCCCAACAGCAAGGTGAGTCCAAGTGAAACAGGGCTGGGAAGGGGCTTGGAAAAATGGGGAGCCCATGCCCCCACTCACATAGGAGGAGGTGGCCGCATCACAGTAGCTTGGCACTTGGAAGAAGGGCGGCGACCTGAGTTCTAAGCTGATCGCTCAGATCCTAACTGCTGTCGACTCGCTGGGGGTTTGTACAGCGATCAGAGCTGCACTTGTGCGTCTGATGCCCCAGAGATCCCGCTCCCAGGGCAGTCCCCACGAGGGAGGGTGCGCATGCTCACCAGCAGGCAGGATGACATGCTTCGTCACGGCTCGGAGTCACAAAGCCACAAGTTGGATGCCTGCTGACATCCCGGTGATCAACAGGCAAAGTCCCAGATGGCAAGGAGAAGGCGGCACCCCAGCCAGGTGCTACAGCTTGGCGTCAGAGTGCAGACAGTGCAACAGCAGGCATGGAAAATTCGACACCGCTGCCACTGTCACTGTTAAGAGTCGTGGGAAGGATGGCCTTGTGTTGGAGGGCTCAGGAGAGAGGTCTAGGCTGCTTACTCGGAGCTCAAGTTGGACAAGTGATGTGTGCATATTAGTGTGCATGATGTGTTCACCGTTAAGGTTTTTTCTTGAACAACTACCATGTGCAGCAGAGACGGCCCGCTTCCAAGTAGCCAGCTTCACAAGGTGTTTTGCTGTTGTTTTGCAGGACCAGAACCTGGGGCCTTCACGCTGAGCTATGTCCCCGGCCTTTTTTTATATTTTATTTTTTAAAGATAGTGTTGTTAAGTCGCTATGGCTGGGCTCGAACTTGAGACTCTCCTGCCTTAGCCTCCCAGAGCGCTGGGAATGCAGGCGTGCGCCACCACCACACTTGGCTCCAAGCTATTTTTTGTCAGTCACCGCCGAAGCCCATAATGTGGCCAGCTCTCTGCCCACACCTTTACCTTTGACCATGCCCTCCACCTCCTCCTGACTTCTGAGAGGAGTGAGCGCTGCCAGACTGACCCTACCTTCCATGTCCTTTTTCCGGGAAGGGAAAGGACACAGTTGGACCCCTCACCATCACTTAAACTGTTTAAAACTCTGGCTCCAGGTGCAGTCATCCCCCATACAAGATGCCAGCGCCTGTCTTTGGGCAGTGTGCAGAAGCCATGGCTTGTCAGAGTTGCCCCTTCCCAGAGGGACCTGCTGTGGAATCAGCTTCAAAGGCCAGCATCGGAGGCTCCGGGCTGCAGT